AATCATAAAAATTTATTTTTTTACAGGTTTTTGGGGGTGTTTTATGCTTTGTGAAAATTTTCTTATTAAGTTTTCCCAACCTTTTAAAAAAGCTTTTACAAAAAAAAAAACTTTTCCAAAGGGCCGCTTTTTTGATTTTAATATTGGGAAATTTGGGTTGGTTTCTATTAATCCCCAAAAAAAAACAAGTTTGGGGCCTTTAAAACAAATTTAATTTTAAAATTTTTTTTTGGATAAAACTATACAGAATTTTAAATAAAATTAATTTTTTTTTAGGGGTTTTTTTTATTTTTATTACAGGAAAAAAGGGACGGTTTTGGGGCAAAAATTTTAGAAGTAAAAAATGACATTAGTGGGTATTTATTGGGTATTGCCAAAGTGGGGGGACTTGGGAAAAAGGGTTTTTTATTTTCGTAGGGCTTTCCCTTTTATTTTTAGTTAAAATTTTTTCGGAAAATTTAAAAAAACTTTTACCCAGTACCTTTAAAAGGGGACCCTGGCAAATTGCCAAAACTTTAAATTTCTGGAGGAAGGTCAAATGGTGTAAATTTTTTTTTTTCCAGACACAAGCGGGGCCCCCCTTGGCTAGGAAAACCCCAAACCAAAAAAATTCTTTGGGAAATCTTTCTTTTTTTTTTTTTTTGTATTTCAAAAATAAAAATTTATTAAAAAAAAGGGTTGGGCCAAAGGGATTTTTTCCCCTAAGGTTTGGGGTTTTTTTCCCGTTATTTTGCTAAAGAAATTTAAACTACCCTTCCCCGCCCAAATTTTGGAGGGCCAAAAGGAACCCCTGTTTCTTAAAAACTTTTCAAAATTACTGGGTTGGGCTTTTGTTTACCCGCCCTTCAGTTTCCCAAAATTTAATTTTTTAGGTAATTTTCTCTTTCCCTCTGTCCAAAAATTTTTAAAGGGGCCCCTTTTAAAAAAATTTTATAAAAAGGGGAAGGGTAAAAAAATGTCAAAAATAAAAAAAAAGTTGTTTTTCATTTTTTTACTCTTTATTTCCAATTTTAAAGGGCAAAAAATTTTTAAAAATTTTAAAATTTCGAATTTGGAAAAGGTCTTTTAAATTGGGGTGGGGAAAGGCAAAAATTTTTGGGTTTTTAAATGGGAAAAATTTTGGGAATTTTTAAAAAATTTTTTGGGCAAATTTTATAATTTTCCCAAAAAATTTTTGGGTTTTTGACCCCATCTGGGGCCCCGGTTTTAAAAGGAAAAAGGGAAAAAGTTGCGGAAGGGAAAAAAAGGGAAAAGGGTTTAAAAAAGGTTTCTGGACGGAAGTGTAAATGCAGGTATTAAAAAGTTACACCAAAGGGGCGGCCAAAAAATTTCCCCAAATTGCCCTTTTATTGGTTTCCCAGGTTGTCCCAAACAGCCTTGTAACGAAGCAAGTGAAAAATTTTCAAGGATTTCCACCTATATGAATTAATTTCATATGGAACCCAAAGTTATGAACATGCTTTTCAAGGGGATAAAAAAAACTGGACAAGTCAAAATGAAATTTTTGGGCCCGGGCCCTTGATGTAATTTGATGATCTATTTATAAAGCTGTTTAATAGTGTTCTCGCAGACCACCCTTATCACCAAAATATCATCTTCAAATTAATCATAAGATTTTAAGAATGTCCCAAATCACTGTTTTACAGAAGGTATCACATGTATACATGTACCAGTATTGAGAAGAAGAAAAAAAACCATTAGAAATCAAGCATTTTGGCCATTTGTTTTCTACCCATGGTTTAAAGGGTATAAATCTATATCTTATGAAATATTTTTATAAAACTTATCAATAGTAAAATTATATTTGTTCCATTATTAAATGGTTGGTTCCCAAGAAAGAAGTAACATTTAATGTCTCGGTTATTTAACACGCATGAAAATGTATGTTAACAGAATAAAATGTTCTTGAACAAAATATTATTTTGCTATTTTAAGTAGGGTTTTATCCGTTTAGCAATTATTTTGTACATACGCCACTGGCTTTAAGGCAATTTATTGCCATTTTTATTTCATACAAGCATTTTGGAAGTATTCTTTTTTAAAATCCAAACAATAATTTTTGCTAAAGGTATATAGCTTTATACACTTTAAAGCCTATTTTTAACTGGTACATTTTTTCCCCCCAAAAATTATGAAGCAGGTTTTAGGACTTACAACTGTCAGCACAACTTCCTTAATTAAAAATTATGCAACACAATAGTTGAAAATACCATCATGTTGTACAAATTGGCTTCTTAGTGTATTATGGGTAAACGGTTAAGATTATGAGATTATCATAGAAAAACATTGAACTTGAATTTCAAATTTCTGTATAAATGGTTCAGTTAGAACTGTATGTAAAGTATCAATATACAGTGAAATTTTGGATTTTGAGGCATGATTGCAATTTTTGTCTAAATTATAATAGTCCTAACTATCCTCAGTTTTATAAAATTTATGTGATGAAAGGCCATTAAAATGTGTTTCATTCCACAGTTCCTAAGGTTACCTGTCTCCAATCTGTTTTAAATCAAATTCTTAATTAACCAATGATAACAGTGGATGAGAAAAAAACATTATAGAACCTAATTACATGTATACAGAGATTGATGGTTAATGTTCATTACACAATAATGCTGTTTACTGAGATCCGAAGTCTAGATTTATTTTCTCCTTGTTCATGATTAAATCACATATGCAGACATTTATAACAAAGTAACAAATTCATGAAAAAAGCAACAACAAAAACAGATTTGTCAGTAATTACTGATTCATATTACTTAATATGAATGCTTATTTATAAATTATGGAATATTGGATTGCATATAACACAAAACTAATTCATGTTGTTCTTTCACTAGTTGGGTCATTGATCAGATTTGCTAGAAAATTGTGATACTCCATTAGCTAGACTTGTCACATTTTAGAATAATTTTTCCTTGCAGAATTTTAAACATTACCCTGCTGACATTGCTTTGAGATTTAACTGTCTGTTGATTATTTAAAGTATTTGTTGATATTGAAATTTATGACTTGCGGTCTGGATCTATACTGATGACAAAGGGAAGTAATTATTGATGCTAAAAGTATAACTTAATCTTTATCTATTCAGGGAGCAAAGTTGTTTTACTTGTCCGGTATGGTAAATGGAGAATACCAGAAGACTGAGGTTCACAATCTTTGTAGGTTTATATCTGTGATGAAATTCCGACCTTTGACCTGGAGAACAACTCATCCATATATTCTGGCTGACAGGTGAATACAATTGAGCCGCGTCACGACAAAACCAACATAATGTGTTTGCAACCAGCATGGATCCAGACCAGCCTGCCCATCCGCGCAGTCTGATCAAGATCCATGCTGTTCGCTTACAAACTCTATAGCAAGTAGAAAAACTGATAGCGGACAGCATGGATCCTGAGAAGACGGATGCGCAGGCTGGTCTGGATCGCATTATGTTGGTTTTGTCATGACGCGGCCCAATTTATTTGGAAGTAATATTAGTCACACAGGTACAGTACATTCTGGTGTCTTTGAAGCTTAACTTGTAACAGTGGAGAAAGACTACAGGTGTTCCATTGTGCATTTTAATGTGGAAATGGACATATCAAAGTTAATAGAATGATCTACCTTCTACAAGTTCCCACATCAGAGCATTTAACATCAATGGTTAAAGTCTAAGGATGGTCAGAATTAGGTGATTAAAATTTAGCAACCTAAAATTAAACTTCTGTATGGATATATGTATCAATGTTTCACTGGTAGACTTCCTTTTTGACTGCTATTATGTCATAAAGCTTTTATGTTTAAGAGAAGTGTGAAAAGTACATGACTAAAAGGCATTTTAGCAAAACACGAATTTTCTTTACAGGACAGTATTATATTTTTTCTGTATTTCAGAATGGAAGATATATCTGATCCTGAAACAGTACGTAAGTTTAGTAAAACAGATCGCAACATATCTCTGTACGGGTACTTGCACGGCACACACATGAAGAACAACGTCAACGTTCACATTCCCGGCTGTGGAGATTTCTCTATACATGATTTACAATTCTTGTCTGATCCATGTCCGACACCAGAGAAACAGAAGAAACGATCTCTAAGTCAGAAGGATAGACTGATTTATGCACCAATGTCTGGTGTTGGTGGTATCGTGTATGATAAGGATGCTGTTTATATTGACCTTGGTGGAAGTCATTCGCATACAGATGCTCAGAGGGTGGGTATAATTTTACTGATTCCTTTCTACTTTATTATTTTGGCACATTTTGCCTCTGAAACAAATGTTAAATTTATCAAATACAGGGTGAATTGAAACCAACTCTGGCAAAGATTTGATATTTATTTGCCAGGTAAAAATGGTTTTAAAAAGATAATAAAATAATTGTACATTCTATGACTACAGTACAAATAAAAACAAAGTATAATCAATTAACAATATAGACACATCGCAGAATAAGAAATACAATAAATAAAATAATCTTGATATGGTTTTTTACCACAGTGATTGTTCCAAAATATTTCAATATTAATTGAAATAAGTAAACCCAATGAAAATCTTTGTGAATATTAATCAAATAAATGTAACAGTAAATTATTAATCATATAAATGTAACATCTTAACTTGTATAAGAATGACTAAAAGAATGAGCGTGGCAGGAAAAGCAAATGGCGTGCAGAAGTTAGAAAAAAATATTTTAAAGAACCACATATAAACGCACACAACAGATAAAAGTGGACAAGTACAACACAGAAATGATGCATGTTTTAATACCAGATTTTGTGTTTTATGTATGTTATAACATGTAAATGATTGAATATTCTTCTTTTGATCCAATTTCAGTTCATAATTCTTTATAGAAAGAAAGCTGTCAAGCAAATTATTCTAAGTTTAAAACAGTAAACTGATGCAAACCTTGGGCCAGAAAGTAGAAAATTGTTTGTAAAAAAAAATGTTGAAATGTTCAATTATAACAAATTTCAAAATTTAAATTTTGTTTTTGATTGGACAGGATGAAGATGCTCCTCAACCAATGAATGAGCTTGTTTCATCAATGATGTCTCTTAACAACCCATTGGATAAGAAAATGACAACATCAGAGGTTTCACTGTTTTCTGGTGGAATCAAAAGCTCAGAAATGATCATTGATGATGATAAAGATGATGATGATGATGATTATAGGTATGGATGATGTATTTGATTTTTTTTATCAGTAAAACCTATCTTTAAATATCAAGTAATTTATGATGTAAGAAAGATCATTTGCCTTGTCACAATTTATAAAAAACTTATACATGTACCATGTTAGAAAATGATTTGTCAGGGTATTATTAAATTTTCTTCTCTTTCTTAGTTGGTATGATTTTGTATGTTTAGACTGTTTATGACCAATTACTCTACCACCAATGGGCCTTTAGTCCTCAAATTTCACAGGTGTCAGGGTTAAAAGTCAAAGTTACAAACAATTTTGGGTCAAGGGTTAAAGGTCAAGGTCACACTTTGACCTTTTATGCCTAAACTGTTGCCAAGCAAAATTGCATGAAACTGTGCACATTCTGATGAGTGAAATATGCATGTTTTACAAACATCTGTTGTTGAAATTGGTTTAGGTAGTGAATCTCAGTATACAAGTTGACAGAAATGTTCTCTTGAATACTTGTGCACTATCCTTTTTGCAACACTTTCTGTTGTTTTTTTTTTTGTTTTTAATTATTAAACAACTTATCAATGTCTTTAATAAATTTGATTAAAGTCATTTTTAAAGTTTAGAAGCCTTAGATGACCTTACATAACATTTTTTGTGACAGGTTTGATATTGAATTTTCTAAATGCTTTCATTGACAGTGGTGGAAGGCAGTTTGAAACTGTTGAGACTGATGGCAGAGTCAGGAGAAGAGCTGTGTTTGATACAAATGTAGACAAGATGAAATCTAATGATGATGATGATGAATTTGAAGATGATGATGACAGTGATGATGAAAAATATGATGATGATGATGATGGTGGAGATGATAATGTTGTTTTTTTAATATGATAACAATGATGATGACGAAGATGAGGATGATGATATCAATGTCTAGTTTAATAAAGGTAATTGATCAAAAGCTGCAAAAAGTTTTCAGTTTTTAAAATCTTTGTTTTTGTAACACCAAACTATAAGTTAGAAGCCTTAGATGACCTTACATAACATTTTTTGTGACAGGTTTATTTGATATTGAATGTTCATTAAATGCTTTCATTGACAGTGGTGGAAGGCAGTTTTGAAACTGTTGAGACTGATGGCAGAGTCAGGAGAAGAGCTGTGTTTGATACCAAATGTAGACAAGATGAAATCTAATGATGATGATGATGAATTTGAAGATGATGATGACAGTGATGATGAAAAATATGATGATGATGATGATGGTGGAGATGATAATGTAGATGAAGATAATGATGATATCAGTGATGATGATGACGAAGATGAGGATGATGATGAAGATTCTGAAGAAGAGAGTGATGCTAGTAAAGTGATGAAGAAACAGATTAGAAAGGTAATTGTCATCAAAAGCTGCAAAATATTGGTTTTCAGTTAAATTTAAACATCTTTGTTTTTGTAACACCACTATAAGTAATAGATTCATTTTGTATTCTCTATAAACAACAGACGCCAGGGTTCAACTTGAACCGTTCAAGTGAGAATGCGTTTATTCTTCATATAGATGTTACATATAACATAATCAGAAGATGTAGTATATGCTTTGTATAGAAGATATTGAATGAGTGTAAGTTCAGTTCTGAAGTTGATGAAACATTTCGCTCTGAAATTAAACATGTAAATCTGAGTATATACGTTTTATTTTCAGAGCAATATCTCTGGGGAACCAAGTCTTGCCTTTGATGACTCTGATTCAGATGAAGGTGAAGAGGATGATCAAACTGTAAAAAAGTTGAAAAAATCAGATAATTCTGATGATGAAGATGATGATGATGACGGTGATGATGATGATGATGACAGTTGTAATAAGTGTGAAAAAAATCAGAGTGTAAATAGAAATAATAAAAATGGCAGCTCTCTATTGGTTAATAGTGAACTGAAAAGTGTTAAGAAAAGAAAATTGAGTAATATAACAAATTCCAGAAGAATTGCTAGTATGGAGGCAGTGCAGAATATAGATGATAATTTGACTAGTAAAACTGGTAATGATAACTTGACTAGTAAAAATAAACAGGAAGCAAATACAATTGACTCTGACAGTTCAGATGAAGGTGACTCTAGTGACAGTGATATTATATCTTTTAAACCTACAAAAGAAAAATCAAGTCCTCTAAAAGCAACAGAAGTTAAACCAAGCAAAACTGAAGAAGTTGATAAACAGAAAGATACATCTGATAATGTAAAAAGTGGGAAATCATTATCACAGAAACTGCTGACATTGTCCGAGACAGATTACTTTATGTTGAATGCTAAGAAGAAGTCAGAGGATTCACTGGAGGAAAAGGAACCTGAGAAAACTGTAGATAATGATGTCAGTGATGGAGATGAAGTGAGTGAGGATGAAGAAGATGGATCAGAGATGGACGATGAAGATGAGGAGGAAGGTAATTAATAGGATTTTTATCTACAACCAAATTACAAATGTATACAGAATCTAGAATGCGAGATATATAAGATGGACATAAACTTGTTAATTGTTTATCTAACTTCTTTTTTAGATAATCATTTTCATTAAAAATCTTCTTCAAATTTCTTATTATTTAAGTTACCTTGTCCGCATAATTTGTTTCTTTCAATATGAAATTTTGTATGATATATTTTAAACCTTAAAAGATAATTACAAAAGATATATTCATTTGAAAATGTCAAATCTCCAACAACCTCTAACATAGTTAGTCATGTGGTAATGACTCAAAATGGTGTGGCCAAGAGGCTAACTGGTTGGTGGGTAATATAAGGATTGCTGGCCACGTATGTTCATACGTTGTCAGGGGCAAGCCGTTGTTTCCTTGAGCAAGAACTTTTACACTCATTGCTTAGTACTGGTTGCTTCTAGGAAATGTTTAGAAATTGACATAAAACATAGATAAACAAGCAATTAACAAACAAGATAAAAGACTGTTTCTTTTTATTTGTACAATACATTATTTTACTTACCTTATGTTGGTTAGAGGGATCATTTCGCTGGAAGCATGATTTAGCATCCCAGGCAGCAGCAAACTTCAGACAAAGACAAGCTGGTAGAATTAACTACAGAAAACTTATATATGGCAAAGGTAATCTAATTTTCATGACAAACATTTTCTCTATAGTTGTTATTAATCTAAACTTTAGCGTAAGCTACAAGTATTAAGTGTAAAAAAAGGTTTGTGTCAAAGACAATGTCATTATTTGTAAGTGTCAGTGAATTTAATCAAACACTTCAACAAAAATCAAGATGTCTCCCATGTCTGCCTTTTGGAAAAAATCTTTCCACAGTGAATTGGTGGAAACAAGGAAGGTGTCTTTTATTCATTATGATTAATGAATAGGTTAACATAAATTAAAATAAAAAATAATTAGAATCAAATTACGAGCTTATTATGTGCACATAAAAATACTACCATTAGTTTTAGAAGGGAGATTGTACTTTATTTAGAAAATGCAAGTTAACTTAATGTTTAAACGGCTGGAACAATCCATCATATAAAATCTGCATATAAAATTACCAGTAACTCGCTTGGTTTTCTGGGCTGGTAGTGAATGGGGTTTATAGACCATTAATACTTAGCAAGTAAGGGTGCTGTGTAAAAACCATGTCTGATGTCATTTTCCCCTCTACTGTATTACTGTCAATAATGAATGAAAGTTTAGTAGAATACAGGTACATTTTGGAAGTTAGTAATAGAATATTCAATATATAGTAATACGCAGAAACTGTTGTTAGGTAAATCTCAGAATGTACGTGATATACATGTATATACTGTAACAGTTAAACTTGTGCTACATTGTAAGCCATTAAAACAAGGAAATGTTATTTTTAAAGTAAGTTAATAGGAGATTGAATGAAACCAGTGGATATTTATATGATTATTATATAAACAGATGAGGAGGAAGCTGTTGGTGATGACGGGGGTGATGATGAGGATGAGATTGGAGGGCTGTTTAAGGTGTTGAAACAGAAGAGTGAGGCACAGGCTGTCGACAGGATAGCTGTTAACAGTACAGATTGTTCTAAATGCTTGAAAAATACACTAATACAGTTAGAAGTGGATAAGGTATATAATTTTTCTTTTCGAAATGACATTACTTCCTTCTTCAAAGACCTATGCTATTGTTACATATAGACAAAAAGGCATCTCTTCTTTATATAAATTGATAAAAAGTTTTCATCTTGATGAAGAATATTGATTAGTCGAAAACTAGTAGATCTAGAAAGTATGTGAATTCAGATTGTTAGATTTATTTCGGTTTCCGATGTGTTACCCCTATTCCTTGTTTATTTCCGTGTCATTGACTTCAAACGACTGATGATTATAATCCTATAAGAGCCGCGTCATGACAAAACCAACGTAATGCGTTTGCGACCAGCATGGATCCAGACCAGCCTGCGCGTCCCCTCAGTCTGATCAGGATCTATGCTGTTCCCTATCAGTTTCTCTATTTGAAATAGTTTATAAGCGAACAGCATGGATCCTGATCAGACTACGCGGATGTGCAGGCTGGTCTGGATCCATGCTGGTCGCAAACGCATTATGTTGGTTTTGTCATTACGCGGCTCATATAATCTTACAGATACAGGAATTGATAGCAGACTGTTTTGTTACTGGTAAATGGGATGAAAATAAAGATGCTGAGGCGTTGTTGCAAAAAGATGGTAAATACTTTATGAATTCCTTATTTATGGAAGAAATGACCAGATAGAGCTATTATTCCTTTAAAATCGAACAAAACTAGGCCTAAACAAAACACATGAAATTTATTGACTTAGATACATAGTAATGATTTCCTTTTTAGCTCACCTGTCACAAAGTGACAGGGTGAGCTTTTGTGATCGCTTTTCGTCCGGCGTCCGTCCGTCGTCCGTCCGTAAACTTTTACTTTAAATGACATCTCCTCATAAACCACTAAGCCAATTTCATCCAAACTTCACAGGAATGTTCCTTTGGTGGTCACCTTTAAAAATTGTTCAATGAATTTAATTCCATGCAGAACTCTGGTTGCCATGGCAACCGAAAGAAAAAACTTTAAATATCTTCTTTTAAAAAACCATAAGAGCTAGAGCTTAGATATTTGGCATGAAACATCTTCTAGTGAGTGTCTTCCAAGTTTGTTCAAATAAAAGCCCTGGGGTCAAAATTGGCCCCGCCCCGGGGGGTCATTGATTTTCCCTATATGCATATAGTAAAAAATTAAAAAATCTTCTTTTAAACAACCAAAAGAGCTAGAGCTAAGATATTTAGCATGAAACATGTTCTAATGGGTGTCTCCCAAGTTTGTTCAAATAAAAGCCCTGGGGTCAAAATTGGCCCCGCCCCGGGGGGTCATTGATTTTCCCTATATGCATATAGTAAAATTTACTTAAAAAATCTTCTTTTAAAGAACTCAAAGAGCTATGGCTAAGATATTGAGCACTAAACATGTTCAAATAGGTGTCTACCAAGTTTGTTCAAATAAAAGCCCTGGGGTCAAAATTGGCCCCGCCCCGGGGGGTCATTGATTTTCCCTATATGCATATAGTAAAATTTACTTAAAAAAATCTTCTTTTAAAGAACTCAAAGAGCTATGGCTAAGATATTGAGCACTAAACATGTTCAAATAGGTGTCTACCAAGTTTGTTCAAATAAAAGCCCTGGGGTCAAAATTGGCCCCGCCGGGCCCAGGGGTCAAGATTTTCCCTATGTGCATATAGTAAAAACATAAAAAATCTTCTTTTAAAGAACCAAAAGAGTTAGAGCTAAGATATTTAGCATAAAACATGTTCTAATAAGTGTCTACCAAGTTTGTTCAAATAAAAGCCCTGGGGTCAAAATTGGCCCCGCCCCGGGGGGTCATTGATTTTCCCTATATGCATATAGTAAAATTTACTTAAAAAATCTTCTTTTAAAGAACTCAAAGAGCTATGGCTAAGATATTTAGCATCAAACATGTTCTAATAGGTGTCTACCAAGTTTGTTCAAATAAAAGCCCTGGGGTCAAAATTGGCACCGCCCCGGGGGTCATTGATTTTCCTTATATGGCATGTGTATAGCAAAAACTTAAAAAATCTTCTTTGAAAAAAACCCAAATTGGCAAATAGCTAGAGTTAAAATATTAAGCATGAAACATCTTTTAGTGAGTGTCTACAAAGATTGTTCAAATAAAAGACCAGGGGTCAAAATTGGCCCCGTCCCGGGGGTCATTGATTTTCTTTATATGTGTATATCAAAAACTTAAAATCTTCTTTGGAAAAACCCAAATAGCTAGAGTTTAGATATTAAGCATGAAACATCTTCTAGTAAGTGTCTACAAATTTTGTTCAAATAAAAGCCCTGGGGTCAAAACTGGCCCGGCCCCAGGGGTGTCATTGTTTTTAACTATATGTGTATAGTAAAAACTTTAAAAAAAAATCATCTTTTAAAAAGCCCAATGAGCTAGAGCTTAGATGTTTAGCATGAAACATCTTCTTATGGGTGTCTACCAAGTTTGTGCAAATAAAAGCCCTTGGGTTAAATTGGCCCTGCAACGTTTGGGGGGGTTGGGGGGCCTATATACAGGTGAGCGACCTCAGGGCCATCATGGCCCTCTGGTTTCTTTACATCATGAGAAGCAGAAATTTTACATCACATCTGATGTAATGCATACATTCAAGTCAAGGTTTTGTCACAAGTATGTTTGGAAAGTCATCATATGATACATTGAACAAATAAGATATGTATATGTGAATAAAATGCAACCAAAAAAATATGAAAAATTTCCAAAGGGACACAGGACTCTTGTTTCATTGATTATGTACCATGACATAGTGAAGTAAAATAATTTTTCAACCTTGCATTTAAACTTCAAGTGGATAGTTATGGATTTGGAATCAAAACTTTTGCAAGGTGATTGATTTGTTACCTGTTATAAAGTGGCAAAATTATTTATAAGAGGAAACTACCATGCAAGTTCAAATTTTGATGCTGGCTCTGTCATATATTATCAACATTGAAATTCCAGTCCTTGTCTATTTAGCTTGAAATTTGTTGTGCATATTGTTAATTTTTACAATGTAGATGTAAATGTCATATTTGTCAGCTACGGTAGGAGTTTGTCATATCAACATGTCTGTTAAGTTCGATACATGTGCCTTTAGGTACATAGCCATGTGACTTTAACATATATACATATATCTCAAAAGAATTCAAATTAATATCCAAAATCATCTTTATTTAAGATGAGTTGTACGGGGACTTTGAAGATCTTGAGACGGGTGAAATGCACAAAGGAAAGAAAGAAGACAATGATGATGATGATAATGATGATAGTCCTGATGATGATGATGATGATGATGATATTGGTTCTGATGGGGAAAAAAAGAAACAACCAGAAGGTAATAAAATACAAGAATTTGTAACATAGTTACCAATGTCCCACGCCTCGGGAAGTTTTATATGAAGCATAAAATTGTGCTATTTCTCAAGACTTTCAGTCAAAAATTATGATCAATGCTAGATCTGCAAATGCAACAATAAATTTTTTAAAGAAATAAATTGAAACACGGAATTTAAAAATCTATCATGTTAAGCCTTGACCTCTAAGTGTGACCTTGACCTTGGAGGTAGGGATACAGGTGTTGTGCATGACATATCGTCTTATTATTGTAACTATTTGTGCCAAGTATTTTCAAAATCCCTTGAACTATGAAGAAGTTATAGATCGGACACAAAATATACCATATAACAGACATGTTGATCTTTGACCTCTAAGTGAGACCTTGGAGGTAGGACCCATGTTTTGCGCCTGACATATCGTCTTATTATTGTGATTATTATGTGCAAAGTAATTTTAAAATTCCTTGATCTATGAAAAAGTTATGGACTGGACACAAAATATACCATATAACAGACTATGTAAATATTTGATCTCTAAGTGTGACCTTGATCTTGGAGGTAGGGCTGCAAGTGTTGTACTTGACATATCATCTTATTATTATGACAATTTGTGCCAAGTTATTTCAAAATCCCTTGAACTATGAAGAAGTTCTAGATCGGACACAAAATATACCCTATAACAGACTATGTTAATTTTTGACCTCTAATTGTGACCTTGACCTTGGAGGTAGGGATGCAGGTGTTGCGCATGACACATTGTCTTATTATATTGACAATTTGTGCCAAGTATTTTCAATATCTTTTGATCTTTGAAAAGGTTATTGACTGGACACAAAATATACCCTGTAACAGACTATGTTAATCTTTGACCTCCAAGTGTGATTTTGACCTTGGAGGTAGGTGACCGGTTGTTGCGCATGACACATTGTCTCATTATTGTGAACAATTGTGGCAAGTATTTACAAAATCCCTGTAAAGATAAGAAAGTTATGGACCGGACCCGACATATACCCTCAAATAGGAAATGTTGACCTTGAATGAACTAGTGCGACCTTGATCCTGGAGGTAGGGGTCTGGTTGTTGCGCATGACACATTGTCTTATTATAACAAATATTTGTGCCAAGTTATTTCAAATTCCTCTGATAAATGACAAAGTTATAGACTGGACATGAAAGTGTGACGGATGGACAGTCGGACGAAGCCTATTTCTATATCCCCCTTTTTTCTTCGAAAAGGCAGGGGGCAATAAATGTCTGAATTTGTAGCCTTGATATTGAATTTTTCCAACTGATTTAATTTTATCATCTTAAATGACTAATATTTACATAAATCATTGGTATAGTAATGGAGTTTATATATTCTTCTAAATCTTACTCTTACATGACCACTTTTAATGAAAAATAATTACAAAATGTTACATGTCAACTTCTTATGAAAAATATTTTAGAATTAAAACTTGAGTACCAAATTGTAGACGTCCATCAATGCAACTAGCAAAATGACCTCAGTCATAGTATAATGATGCCATATCATAACCATTTAACTTTCATGTACAACTTATCACAGTTGTGCCACTTTGTCATGCATTTTATCGCCTTGTAATCAAAGCAGATATAATAACGAGGCTATTATGTTATCTGTTAGATGAGCAAAAGTTTCACAAAAAATACAAGAGTAACTGCTTTTTGTATGCAGAGTTAAAAAAGAAAAAGGCAGACATGACGGCGGAGGAGAGACGTGTGGAGAAGAAGCGTAAACTGAAGGAAATGTTTGACACCCAGTATGATATGAAGGGAGATACAGAGTTCTATGATAATTGGAAAGAAGAGCTCGATCAACAGGCCAAAGTATGTACACTCTTAATGTTCCTAATCAACAAATAATTTCTTCTTCATGGGGATATCATTGTATGATAAATTTGGGGCTTTTCGTTTTGTGAAAATATCAGAATTTTATTTACTTATTTATTTTATATTTATAATTTCTGTGAGTACCTAAATTTAATAGTTTCAAGTATTAGTATGGTGGTCTGTGGTCGGATGGTTAAGGCCTTTGATTTCAAACCAGTTGCCCCTCACTGCTGTGGGTTTGAATCCTGCTAGAGACTTTGGATTCTTTCATGTGAGGAAGCTATCTAGCTACCATTGGGGAAATGTCAGTGGTTATATTCAGGGGCCCCCTTGTAATAATGCATGGATATGCACCTTAAGTCTGGCAATACCAGTAAAGCTGGAAAGTTGCCATAAGACATTTACACTGTTGGTGTGACATAAAATCAAATCAATAGTATTAGTATGCTTTAAAAAAAAACCTACAATAAATTAATATTGTTTGTACAACAGATGAATCGTGCAGTGTTTGAGGACATGGATGATGAGTTGAGGGTTCAGTATGAAGGCTTCAGACCAGGCATGTATGTGAGGGTAGAGATCCACGGGGTGCCAAGTGAGTTTGTCACCAACTTTGATCCAACATATCCTGTCATTCTTGGAGGATTGCTAAGTGTAGAAAACAATGTTGGATATGTACAGGTTAGTTGATGATGAAGGAATCACCTGATATTTACACTTTATTTATAGGAAAATATATTATAGAAAATATGTACAAGAAAATATCTTTCAAAGATGAAATATTTTTAATAATTTCTTTTAAGTTGACCTTTCATATTATAAAGGGAATTTGCATATTTTAGTCGAAGATAATTTTTTCTGCAAACTCTTGGCACATCATTTGTTTAATGTAGAAGCAATTTGATTGTAGATTTATGTGTTTCAGTGTTTTGTATTCAAATGTGTTGCCATGAATTATGTGATGTATTTTACAGGCAAGACTGAAAAAGCACAGATGGCATAAGAAAATATTAAAGACGAAAAACCCTTTAATTATCTCGCTTGGTTGGAGGAGATTTCAGTCTATACCACTATATTCTATACAAGATCATAATATGAGAAATAGATTACTGAAATACACACCTGAACATCTACACTGTAATGCTTCCTTCTGGGGTGAGTAAAGGTTTTATTTTCTATTAAAGTATCTTGAAATATGTCACTTTATTATAGAAGAAGAAAAGTTTGTTTGTTTGTTTGATTGGGTTTCACATCACAGTATAGGTTATATGGCAACATTCCAGCTTTACTGGTGGCGGAAGACCTAAGGTCTTCCCTCAGTGCATTTCAGGCATGAACAGGCACCTGAGTAGAACCAGAGACATTCCAGAAGCTAACTGGATATCTTTACGCACATGAAAGAATCCAAAAAGGAATGAGAAAACATTTAAATCATTTATATTGGGTGTAAGTTCATTATAGTATGTTTCTAAATATTTACTACAAACACTGTCAGTTTTAAATATGCTAAACATGGATCAAATCTTTCAAAAGCATCTGTGCTAGCATTACTTGGAATCATTTCATCTGTTACATTCTTGATATATGCATTCTCTTTTTGTAAATATTGTACAGAAACTGCTGCATAATAAACAAATTTCCCAGATTATTTCATAATTGGCATGTGCTACGGTTAAAATATTTGTAAATGTTAAACAGTGTTTTATTGGTATTATAAGTAAATGTATTATTAAACATTTATTTTTCAGGTCCTATTACCCCTCAGGGTACTGGTTTGTTAGCTGTAGAAAGTGTTGCAAATGTTACAGTAAGAGTTTTGTAAAAATCTTTTAGATGTTATAAATAAATTTCTCATAGTTCATAAAGTTTTATGCAGAATTATATAAATATTATAATTTGATGGCCATAAAGTACTTACATTTTCCATGGATTTACATTTTTCTGAGGCAATTTACTTTTTTCAATAGTTCATATTTTGCAATAGTTTATTGAATGGCATGTAACAAACGAGTCATTCATTTACTATTTTATATTATTAACCCTTGCCATGCTAAATATCTTAAATTGGCTGGCTTATCTTTCAATCTGGCCATAACCTATTATCATTTTTTTGTGAAAAAATTCAAAATAAGTACGTACTGACTCAATAGCAAACATTGATGTGCCAGCTGATCTTGGTCTGCACTGGTCACATGGGTAGAATCATTTGCTGCCAGCAGGCTAAATGTTAACTATAGTAATATTAGTGTTTTAGGTGTATGATTGAATTGTTTACATTTTTTGTAGGCTGATTTCCGTATAGCTGCAACAGGTGTAGTTCTAGAGCTTGACAAGTCACAGCAAGTTGTTAAAAAATTGAAATTAACAGGAACACCTCAAAAGATATACAACAAAACAGCTTTTATCCAGGTACAAGAATTTGATTTGTATAAAGAGATTTTTCACACAGATTATTTAAAACAATATTACATTAAAATTTCACTGCCGATATGGGAAATAAATTTTGTACATCAATAGTAATGGTACTCTTTCAAAAATTACTAGTATACTTCAAAATTACATTTCATTTGATAAGATGTTGCCTGTTATAGATAATTACTTTTTCTATTGTCTATACATAATTTCTGGGTTACCCAGATAATGTTCAACTATTTCTTTCAATATTCTGCATGGCAAATAAGATTATTAACAGATTTAAGCATCATGTCATATGTATATTTAATATTCTGTCTTACACCTTTTTGTGACATAGGGTATGTTCAATTCTGCACTTGAAGTTGCTAAGTTTGAGGGAGCAAGTGTTCGTACTGTCAGTGGGGTCAGAGGTCAGATCAAGAAAGCTGCAAAAACACCTGAAGGGGCATTTAGAGCTACGTTTGAAGATAAAATTTTGCTAAGTGGTATGTGGTTCCTTTGTAAATCAGTATTTGAGCCGCGTCACAACAAAACAAACATAATGGGTTTGCGACCAGCATGGATCCAGACCAGCCTGCGCATCCGCGCAGTCCAATCAGGATCCATGCTGTTCGCTATTAGTTTCTCTATTTGTTATAGGGTTTGTAAGCGAACAGCATGGATCCTGATAATACTGCGCTGACGTGCACGCTGGTCTGGATCCATGCCAGTCGCAAACCCATTATGTTGCTTTTGTCGTGATTCGGCTCATTTATTATGAAGATTATGATTAAGTTTGTAATTATTTTAGTTCTTTTATGTAAGTATAGGTGAGGAAACAACTGTTTGTTGTTCTTGTTTTATTGTATAATTGATGGTAGAACAAAATATAACCATGCTACATCAAAGTTTTTATAATCTAGAATAATGCAGGCTGAGGCTTGAAATACGTCTTTGTACTTCTGTAGATGTTAATACAGGAACAAGTTTTATAAGGGCCATTATATTCACTGTGTATACTGTATGCTTTGTTTAATAATTCTGTGTTTTCTTATCAGTATATTTTGTAAAAGAAAGAAAAATTAATTATTTGGTAATGAAACTACTAGAGCTGTCATTGCAGTAAGCGGTTTATCATTGTGCCCTAAGTCATGCGTATTAAAAACAGTGTATGGTCACATAAATCTATCTGTTAATGCATGTTTTCTGCTCTGTAAATGTATACCTGCATATGTAGATTTTATGCAAGAATATTGAATAATACATGTTTATGATTTTGAGCTGCACATTTAAGGATTTTAAGTTCTTTGGTTTCCAATTCTATATATAGTTTCCTTAAATATTTTAGGAAAATTTTGTATAATTACTTATTTTTCTTCCAGAAACTGAAAATTTAAGGAAAATAGGATAAAATCATTATTCGATAATTTCAGATATTGTGTTTATACGAACCTGGTACCCAGTAGATGTGCCACAATTTTATAATCCAGTAACCAGCCTGTTGTTACCAAAGAATGAAAAACAGGGCTGGACTGGATTGAAGACACTGGGACAATTGCATAGGGAGAAAAATATGAAACCTACATTTTCTGATGATTCTGTTTATAAGGTAATAATACATTTAATAATGTAAGCATGTTCATCAAAATTGAAATTGATCAGGTTTTAGGGCATGGACAAGAATGTTAAGGACATCAGTGTACAAGGGCCCAAAATTTAATACCTGGTATATTTTATTATTATTAGACTTGCTCATATTGATTTAATCCAGGTTCTGGACAGAGGTATGGCTTAATTGATGTTGCTTTTCAAAATGAAAAAAAAAATATATAAAATATAATGTTTACTTCTTTCATTGACTATTCATTGTAATTTAATTATCGAAATCCTTGCAAATAAGCAAAATGAAATGATGTATTAATTTAATTCACTATGTTATGCACACTTTGAAATATACAAAAAAAACAAAAAAAACAATGTAAAACAATGACTTTAAAGTAAACAAGAAGATAAATAATTTACTATTAATTTTTATTACAGAAAATTGAAAGGAAAGGAAAAGGTTACACACCATTATCTGTACCAAAAGCTCTCCAGAAAATCTTGCCGTTCAAGGATACGCCAAAGTCATTACTGGCAAAGAAGGATCCTGTTCAGCGTGTAGCCATTCTGAGAGAACCTCATGAGGCCAAGGTGAGATCATATGTTCATTTTCACCGCCTCCGTGGTTGAGGGGTTAGAGTCGATGACTTCTAATCCAGTTACCTCTCTGGCGTGGGTTTGATCCCCGGGTGATGCTTTGGTAGTTTAGCACGGAGGAAGGTAGTCTTGTACTGGTGTAACTCTCCAGGAAAGACGGTTAGGAAACTACCCGCCTATATGACTGAAATACTGTTGGAAAAATGCGTAAAATGAGACAAACAAACATGTTCATTTTGATTAATATACTTCATTTGTCTAATTTTACATGTATATTTATACAAAACAAACTAAGAAATGCCTGTATAATTGAATTTTAAATGTTGTTGAATTAGGATAAGGCATAGAAATCTAAACTGAACAAGATTCATAAATTTTCTAATCACACAGATCTTATGCCATGCCATCTTATTGAAGTTTCTCGTATGCCATGCTTATTAGCTAGACTATTTAAAGATAAGGAAGAACTGTTGGACTCGCACTGGGGTCAATATCACAGTTTTGTTAAGTTTATATGTGCAAGTTGATACCTCCAAAACTACTGAAGGGCATTGGTTGAAACTTCACTCACTTGTTCCCTGTGATTATCTACATGATGGGCACATGTCCCATAACTCTAAGTTAACTTTGTTACAGAGTAATCTCCCTTTTCTTACCTGAAGCATTGATAATATAGTCAAGCTTGCTGTCTTACGGACAGCTTGTTACATTTTCAACGTTGCTTTGCGGCATACTTTTGTTATTACTGTAAGGTACATGTTTTTTGATTTGTTACAGATTGCTAAAATGATGTCTATGTTGAAATCTGTGCACGAGCATAAGAAGCGAACTGAGCGTGTAAAAATGCGTGAGAGAGTGACCAAACATCATAAACAAGTGCAGAAGATGGACTTAGTAAAACAGAAGAAGAACAGGGAGGCAAAAAAAGAAGTATTTAGAGTGCTTGGAAAAATGGAAAACAGGAAAAATAGAAATAAACGGGATTAACAACAAGGTGTTGAACTTGTAATTTCGAACGTTTAGTAAATGTTGATGGGATATAATTAATATGTTAGTGATTTCAGATGTTTATATCAAGATCGCTAATTACATGTACTGTTGGGAATTATTGTTATTAATATTGGAAATGTTGGCTGATAATTTTAGCAAATTCAAGATATGATGATACTATTATATTATTACATGTACGATACTATTTTGTTGAAATTGGTAAATAAATACAGAATACATAATAAAGATGAAAGATAAAAAGCTTGTTTTATATACCTCTTGATATTGTGTAAATGTCACAAAGATCGGAATATATTTTATCACCAAGTATCATCTTTGGTTGGAACTTTCTGAAAATGCTGTATTTAAGGACAAAGATAACTGCTTGACTGACTTACATGTATGTTCAGTATAATTATATGAAATACTTTGGCCTCTTAATTTGAAAGTAAGACTTTTAAGCATCAAGAAATCACAAATGAAAAATATATATGTAAGATACTTAGCATGTTAAGCATTTGAATATTGAATATTTTGGTGTTATCAAACGCATTTAATTAACATGGGACTGAATATGTATCTTTCTGTCCCAGAATGAACACAAAATACTCATTGGCAACTGTTTTCATTTCAATACTTATACTTTTTATTGTCTGGAATTTGTCTATTTCAAAATGTGAAAACTCTGCATTTCAGTTGACAATTAAATGCACAATCACTTGTCAGTACATAAGATCTTATAATATATCCCCACAGGTGAAGTTTAAATGGTGTATAATGGAGTCAGATTTTCAGTTTATGGTGAATTTCTTTTTAAGTAAGTACACAGAAGATGTGCTTGAAGAAATACACTTAAAGAACGGAGAACTAGTACTCTGATGATATTGTCAACTTACTGCAGTTCTGTGTCGGTCATTATGCAAAATGTATTGGTGGTTTAATTTGTTTGTCTGGCTTGTACCACAGACACTTGGGTGTGGAGTTCAAAACGCCTTTTAAAATGCAGATAAAATGCATATTAAATTTTGTCAATCCCAGGACATGTACTGATCATATATATTAAAACTAGAAATGTGTCCATAGGACACGGGTGCCCCCACACTCCATCGATGTGTCAATCTTATGTCTCTAGGTCAATTTTTTTTGGCTAAATGTGCCCAAGTTGAAAACTAAAAATCTTTTATAGTAAGTAAAGGGCAAATACTGAATAAATCCACAAAAAACCCCAGGGTGCATAAGTACACATGCTGACCAACATTCCTGTAAATTTTCAGGCCTACATGTCAAATACTTTTTGAGTTACGTGCAACACAAGTTCAATATTGAAAATTTTTACTAAGTCAAGGGCAATAACTCTAAAAATAGTAAAAATATCCACACAAAAATACCCAGGTGCCACAACTACAAATGCTGATCAACACTCCAGTAAGGTTGCATGACTAGGTCAAATATTTTTTGAGTAACGTGCGACACAAGTTGAAAATTGCAAATTTTTACTAAGTCAAGGGTAATAACTCTAAAAATAATAAATATATATACACATGAAAATATCCAGGTGCACAATTTCACATGCTGATCAACATTCCTGTAAGGTTTCACGACTCTAGGTCAATTACTTTTTGAGCTACGTGCGACACAAAAAGAGAACGGACGGACGGACAAGGGTAAGTCTAAATCCCCCCCGCCCCTGTAGTGGGGGCACAAAAACTTAAGATAAGCCGTTTTGAAAAAAAAAAATCATATTTCAACGTCTATAATGTATTATTATAGACGTTGAAATATGTTTTTTTTTCAAAACGGCTTATATTAAGGTTATATATATATATGATCAGTACATGTGCTGGGATTAACAAATGTGCTTTTTTATTTGGATTTAAAAAGCGTTTTCAGCTCCACACTCCAAGCGTCTGTAGCTGGTACGCCAAATTTAACACTTTGGTCAAATATTGGCGGTCGGAATCGACCGGCTTTCCTGGAATTTCTTTGCAAGACCAACATGATTTCTGAATCGGCGGTGAGTGACCATTAGACGTAACGTCAGAGAGCACTTGTCACGGAGAAATCTTGCTCCTTTCGACGATCGAACTAGTGACTGCTTGATTGAAGAGTCTCACTATTTAGCGGCCTTTTCATACATGTAGGTACATTGGTGAGAAGTGCAGTGTTTAATATCAAGTTTTAGAAAAAAAATGTCTATTGTTAACTTTCATACTTATTTTTTGTCTGGGTCATAACTCAAAAGGTATAGGAAGTCTGACCTTGAAATTTAATATATAGACAGGTTTCATTTCAGAGAACGCCGTACCCAAAAACCATAACGCTCTTTGACAGATTTTTTGAGTTATTGCCCTTTGTAATTTTCATGTGTTTTATTTTTTTCAATTGTAATCTTATAATGAAACATTGAATGTTGATGTGCAAGTTATTAGAAGTTGCATTCATAATGGCTTAGATATTTTTTATGTATCATATATCAATTTTTATGGAATTTATTGTGAATTTATTGTGTGCGACATTGAGCTGAGGGCGTAGTGAAGTAATAACTTTCATTAAATTTAATATACACACATATACATTCAGATTCACAAAAAAAGCAACAGTATTTTTATTGTTTTGAATAAATGCCCAAAAATACACATTATAATCAAAGCAGTTTTGCATATTATATTTTAGCTGTGTCTACAACACACTTTGTTATCTATGACATGCTTCTCCTTTCCTCTTTTTATATATGCTTTTAATAATTTCATGAACAAGAAAAGCAATATTATTTATTGTTTACATATTTTAAGTTTTGTTGTAATTGTAAAAAAAATACAATTTTGGTTTGAGTCCCATCTGCGGCGCGCCGACTTTTCGTTTGATTATATAATATAAACATTTCAAATTCACCTTATAACAAATCTAGTTAATATTGTAGGATATTTTATTTCCTAAAATGAATCTCAAATCCCATCATTTATCCAAGTCGTTTTTACAAAAAAATAAGGAAGGAAACAATTTAGTTGCGTTTGACTTTTCTAATACTTGAGGGCGTTTCACGAATTTTAGTGAAATCGAAACTAGAAGGTTTGTATTTATTTTTGTAGATTTTTTTCATGTTTTATATGTTATACTCCAAACTGAATAAACATACCAAAGCAGACGGTACTTTAGTGTGATATTGTAAATATATAGACAAATTCTGATCTGTTTATTTCATAATTAACCTTGGTTTATTTGTTCTCTACAGTAGATCAATTACTATTGTACCACAGGAACTTGACATTCTGTCAATATTAACGATACTATATCCTAGAAATATCCCCTATATAGTATAAAAAGAATAGTAAGGGGGTATGTTTTGGATATTATTGTTAATATTGATAGAATTTCAAGTTCCTGTGAAATGTTCATCTTAAATGAGAACATTATTTTTTGCGTAGTAAATAAACTTTATATAATTATGCACCCAAATATCGGAGTGTGATATATCATATTTTCGTTTCTGTAGATTTGATTTTTAACGTTAACATAAAATCTTTATTTTGAAATAGAGAAATAGAATAAAGTCTCTTCTCAGTATGTTTAGCAGTTTTATACACAACAGTCAATGAGACATTATCAGAATTTATTCTATGTAACTGTTATCCGGCATTATGCTATGTAATCTTTGAGGCCTTTAAAAGAACAAAAAAATGTATGCTTGCTGCTTTTGTGGGTTATTTATATGGGGAATATTAGCGAAATTAAATAATTTAGTGTCCCATTACCCTTTACACCGTATCACGATCAGGTGATTTCATATAATGATAACATAAATATTGATACGAAAGAAGGCAAAGGTAAGCATTTATCTTTAATCTTCTTATTATCATATAAATGAATTATGTTTTCTATATCATTAAAATGCTGTTATATATTGTAAAGAATCTCAATATTTAATTTAGATCGATAAACAACAAAATATTGTACAGTTCAGCTTTCAAGAAAGATAAAGACGTAGAATAGATAAAAGATAATTTATATTTCAGAATGGCAGAAAGGAGCAATTTTCAATCGTTAAAAGACGGTTCTGATGCAGATTTTGAATTCACGTGTACACCTTGCAGCAAAGAAAATATTAGAGAAGAGGCTGACAAGTATTGTCCCGAGTGTCACGAGTATTTGTGTAAGACATGTACAAGATACCATGGCCGACTCAAGGCTTCACAGCAACATAAACTGCTGGATAGAAATGATGCCAATCGAGGCTTACATGTTGCTAAGACTAAATGTCAGTACCACGCTGACCGAGACATTGAAATGTACTGCAAAACACATGATATGGTCTATTGTGCGATGTGCATTGCAACAGAACATAGGTAATGGTTATAGTAAACATATTAAACATTCCATGTTGTCTTGTTTGTGAGAACAGGTTTGATTTGGCTTATTTTGTTTCTATTACATGCACATATAATATCATGAAATTTAGCCATCAATTTTAGACCTGTGAGTTGGATCAAATGTAATATGTAATTTTAGCTGATTATGTTTCAATTGCTGTAGTGAAAAATATCGAGCCCAGCTAAGATATATATTTGATGTGTATTAGTTATATTTTTTAATCATAAATAACCTCCTACATCATCATATATTGTAGGTCTTGTGATGGAGTAAACAAGATTGAAGATGTGTTCAAACAAAGCGCAACCCAAGCGGAGATTCAAGCCCTATTAGATGAGACAAAGAATGCACATGACACTGTCAAGGCCCTGACAGTAAAACAGAAACAAAATCTTACTGAATTAGACAAACAGAAAGAAGCTATTGAAGGGAAACTAAATGATACAGAGACAAAACTTATAGAACATATTAGAAATTTGAAAAGAGAGACAGCAAAATGTTTAAATGATAAATATTCTACACTGAAAGAGGAACTCAGTGTATCAGTTCGAACAGCTGAAGTCTTGAAACAAACTACGGAACAACTGCAAATGATTGACAGTCTGAACTTAGAGCAGCAATTTGTGCTGATGAAATTGATGAAGAAGACTGTCCAAGATGTAAACACTTCTATTACAGAAGGTGCGACAGAAGGAACAAAATTTATTGATTTTATTGTAAATAGAGATTTAACAGACATATTCGCAAGAGTAAAGTCTTTAGGTAATGTAACAGCCGGAATTATCGGTGAGCAGAAATTGAAAAAGAAGCAGTACAAAATAAAATCAACAAAAGAGATCAATCTGAAGCTAAGTAGTTACCAAATGAAACATTGCATATCTGATAGCTGCAGACTTTCTGATGGTACGGTCCTTCTGATTGATAGTAGCAATTTCAAAGTCAAAAAGCTCAACACTAATGATAGTATAGAAAACGTCTATGATTTTGTTGCTAGTAGAAACGACTATGATTCTGTTGCTAGGCCTACAGGTATATGTTGTGTTAGTAACAGTGAAGTGGCTGTGAAATTAGACACCAATAGAATACAACTCTTTACCGTTGGCTCATATCTGTCCAAAGGCAGGACTATAAATATAATACACGGTTATCTGTTTGGATTAACAATGTTTTGTGGTGATCTATGGTCATCAGCCTCAAGTGGTGTTAACGTATACAGTACTTCATCTAATCTTGTTAAATCTATCTTCAACAATCAAAACGGGAAGTCTTTATTTAAATCCGATGTTGGGCAGATGACTTCCACTCCCGAAACAGTGATCGTACCAGATAACTATGATGGAGCTGTTTGCCTCAACAAGGATGGTACGGTCATTAGAGAGCTGAGAGACAGTAGATTGATGCGTACTCGAGGAGTATGTGTAGCTGATGATGGAACGGTATTCCTATGTGGGATATCAATCTAACAACATCGTTATGTTCGATAGTGATGGTAATTGTCTCGGAGAACTAACTGGGAAAGACTCTGGCTTGTTATCACCAACAAGCATGAGCTTCGATGGGAAAAGAAATATGTTAGTTGTTGGATGTAACAGCAGAGACACATTATTTGTAATTGAATTAGCATGTTAAAGATAGATGTTGTATTGTGCACTTTAAGGTTAATAAGTCATACATATTTTATATAATTCAAATGAATGACGTACACAGTTTTGAGCAGATACATTTTTTTATTTCATAATGGGAACATTAAACATGACATGATTTATATATGTTATTTGACGATATGCGAATCACCCTCAGATATACTGGTGTTGGATATGATGTAATAGTTTCTATTTATAATTCATTATAACTAATTTTGTAACACAATTTGTTGACATTTTTATGTGGGTAGTTGTCATATATATATATATATATATATATATATATATATATATATATATATATATATATATATATATATATATATATATATATATATATATATATATATATATATATATATATATATATATGTGTATATACTGGTCTTAAAGTCCAGTCGCGAATTCGGAATTGACCAGAGTAGTTGTACACTGTAGGATTGAAATGTAAAAGTTAGTTCTGCATTTTCCGTCCGTACTACACGACATAGATCGCGAAACGTTCAATCTCTAACCGGTAAATTTCCTTAAAAGTAATGTCTGCTGGATTGATGTTTTGCAGTCTTAAGCAATAAATCTTCTTAATTGACTGGCTATAGATGCAAACTAAATAAGTATCAATGCTGTTTAGTGTTTGCTTATATTGATGTTTTCAAACAAATGAATAACTCGTGTGAATTATTTAAGATGCTATTTACATGCAACATTGTTTTATTATTTTGATGCACATGCATTAGTACTAAAAGCTGTTTAGAAAATAGAAAATACGAGTATTCATATAAATAGAATATTTCTAAACCGTTTATAGAATATTCTTTGAATCATCAATATATTATTCTTCTATAAACAAGATAGAATGCTTGTCAATTAAATATTATATGATACAAATCTTGTTAAAATTATGTGATTTGTTTCAATAAAATTAAGATATTAGGACTCAGTAATGGATAGGTTTTGCGAAATATTTCAAGCTGATGCAAAACGAACATTTATTTTTCTTAAACGTTCTAGGCTTTAAAGCAGCATGCCTCCAAATTCATGATATTTTCTTGACAATTTTGAAAGCATAATATTGTCAAGTAACTTAAAGGAAGCAATTTACACATTATCAATGGCACCTGCAACCCTCGTTAATTACTAAAAACAGGTTACAATATACAAACAAAATTACCCTTACTGCGTTAGTAACGCAGACTTAGAAATATTGTAATAAAACTGAAAAATTAGTCATTAATCGCACAAAACATATACATTTTTACTTGAATCTTTTTACCTTTTTTTAAAATATTAGGTACATTTTTCTCAAGTTTGATTTTATTTACATACTTTGGCTCATCTGGAGGCATGCTGCTGTAAATGAACATGTTTCAAATTTCACAAGTGCATATGCTGATTGATTGTTTTTGTGATAAATGTAAGGAAATTTTAATAATCATGATGTTAAAATTGATTGTTAAGTAATTTTGTTCGAAATGTTGGAACATTACTGTAGATTGCGATTTTTCATCTTCGTTAATACAGACACGAAAAGAAAACATTAATTTTATATACATTTGGTAAAATTCAGCAATGTAACTTACATGCTATAGACTTAGTTGCCATTTTCTAAATTACAAGAAAAAAACTTTTACCTACTCGTAAGTATCCAAAAGAATAACAATTTTTGTAATGAATGAAACCATACCATTTTCCAATGAAAAGAATGACAATTAACGTATGAAATATCAAAAGTAAAAAGTGTTCAGCCTATGAATTATGAAGTACTGATTATATGTTATCTGAATCGTATGACTATATGTTGAATAAAATGTGTGTGTGTGTGTGTGTGTGTGTGTGTGTGTGTGTGTGTGTGTGTGTGTGGGTGGGTGTGTGTGTGTGTGTGTGTGTTCGTGCGTGTGTGTTGGTGTGTGTGTGTGTGTGTGTGCGTGCGTGTGTGTGTGTGTCTGTCTGTCTGTCTGTATGTACGTACGCAACATTCGGACTTAATGAATTCGCGAAAAAGTCAAATAGGCAAGTTTTTGCGAAATGCTAGTGACGAGAAAATATCCCAATCTACAGTATTTCACAAGTTCTGATTTTGACACTTCATGCATGAGAAGAAGTTGTAATTGTACCTTTATTATATTTTGGAAACCGTAATATTTCTGTACCACTTCAGGCATCGTCGTTTCGATTTTAAAAATAAATAAAAAAAAAACATCTATGTAAAATATCTTAATGTAATAATAAAATTCTTGCAATTAAGTTGATATTTCCACATTATAAAACCTTCCATTTCACGCATGCGCTTTCAGAAGGTTCGCATGGATCTATCATTTAGCCTGCCTTTTTATGTTGTCGAGTAAGCAATCTTTATACGACTATACCCCCGAATAAGAAGACACTTTTAAATAACCGTTATGTTCCTAGTGGGTTTACTACAGTTGAAATGTAGAGTGTCCTGCTAGGGCAAGTTAAAGGACCCTTCTTGGTATGTTATATTTCATTTCTATAGTCATGCCCCGCCTTTCTGTACTTTTATAGATAAAGTTGCAAGATTTTACATGCTCGCAAGAAACATTTCGCGCCATTAAATTTGTCTCATGCTTATACTTTCTCATACTTTAATCCTCGTGCAAATCAAAATGTAAAAATCTTGGCGATGATTAAGCTTAATTTTCGCATGTTTTTTGCCTGAACTTTAATCTATTGAAAGTACCAGTGCCTATAGTGAAAGTTCTTCGAAAGAGAATGTTAAATCTCGCTACTTATCTATTAACAAGAGCCAGTGCGCTCGAATGTTCTCAATGCTTGATAGTATAACAAGAGCCTGAATAATGTATCATTTTAAGTTCAAAGGGCCATAGTTCTGTCAAAATTCATATTTACAATAGCTCTTCTACTCTTCGAATAGTCGAGCGTAAACAAGAGATTTAGACAATCTTAAATCGTAACAGGGATATTTTAACTGCCTCAAACAGGACACTATAGAAACTGACTGAAAGTTGTAGCAATGAATCAAATCAATTGGATAGTCATTTCCAGGTGATTTTAGCATTGACGAAACTAACAATAGTTCGTTGAATGATACTAAAACTCTATCATATCTTTTTTGGTATATCGTATGGCATTATAAAAAACCAACAACATTAACATGACATTTACTGTCCCATCCCAACTCACGAAAAAATCATCGGCCATATCCAGCTGAACATTGTGTTAAGCTCAGCTTGTAAATAAGGAAACTTACAGTCCAAAACGTTATCTATTTATCCATTTAACATTGACGCAAAACATGTTCAAAGACGGTTTTAAATGCCATTGTTAGAAAAAGTAATAATTTCTTTGATACAGAAGCAGGTGACCAGATCACATTCAAAGTCATCCAGACACACATATAAAATGTACAAGTGGTTTAAAATTTGAAGAATTAAACTTTATACAAATAGAACATGCTGGTGACTGATCATCGAGATCAAAAATTATTATTATTTGTGTTACTTTTTTTTGTCCATGGACCCGATTTTTATCAATTAACCCATTCGATTTACAGCTAATTATAAATTCGGAACGAAGAAATCTTTCCTATTTTCTATTAGGTAAGTCATATATTGGTTTCCCCTTCGGTGATTTGCAGCATGTCATATTCATGAAAATGCGATCGGGAACAATTTCAGGCATCAGCAAGGGAATAAATTTATCTAGATATTATGTTATTTATCGTGGTCGAGGTGGAGATTTGAGAAAACAGAAATAGGTGTTTTTTATGAGGACATTATCGAAAACAAAACAAAAGAGGCAAGCATATAATATATTAAATTGTGCTTTAGTAACTTACTTTTTAACAAGAAGTTTTATTGCAAGAGTTGTTCATTTCAAGTAAAACAATGACTTATCTGGACAAACTATAATTGCTCCGCGCACACAGGCGAGGAGCTATTTGTGTTTATTTTTTTTGTCCATGGGATCCGATTTTTATCAATTAATCTCTTCGAAAAATAAATTCGGAAACAAGAATTTCTTTCGATTTCTATTACGTTAAGTCATATATTGGTTTCCCCTGCATGTCATATTTATGACTGAGAACTGGAACAAATTTCACGTATAAGAGCGGTATAAAAGAGAAAACAAAAAATAAACTTAAACTGGGTAATTTATTTCTTACATTTGTATCTTCTACAGGAAATTACTAATTATTTTATAGAAAATGGTGGGTTATTTTCTGCGATCTGGAGACCGCAGGGTATTGGTACGCGTTTAATTTTTGAGGCATGGAGGAGCACGTGACCTGTTTTCGGTACATGGAGGAGCATGTGATCTGTAAACCGTACATGATTGGTTAATTGACCTTTTCGAAAACCTAGCTAAATACCGTTTGCCGGTAGGTTACGGATTTACCTGTAAACACTTTCAATATGATCTACGTAAATAACCGAGGTATATCGAGTGAAAAAAATGCGAGTTGCTTCCCTTATCTTATCGCTTATGCTAAAACAATACAAAACAAGCTGTTTTTAAACCGCTAGTTTGTTGTGATTAAATGTCCGATTTTAAAATGTAATACACCAATAGAAAGCTTTGGATCTTAGCTTCGTCACTGTATAAAATTCAACACATCTTTGGACTTCAAAGTATTTTAAACAACTGTCAAACCTACCTTATGTCAGACCATTTTACATACGATTTATACAGTGAGATACGCAATCCGTTATCTTTACTCGAAATTCTACTGATATGAATAACCAGTTGTCTGCTAGTTCTGAAAGTGTTTATCGGTGTTTATTTCTAATTTTCTATAATTATTTTACCGTTAGAGTTTGAAAAAAACTTTAATGATATGTTTGAAAATTATCAATGTTTCTTTAATATCTATCTCAAACTTTACAAACAATAAATTGTTATACTGAAAATCTACAAAATTAAAATATTCGTAGTGGCATCAGCTATAATAGGTAGAGATATTTTCTGCGTAAACTTGTGTGTTTAATTTATTTATTTTTTGCTCGGAATTATTCATAAAATGAAGGCCTATTTAATCATTTTTCTTAAAAAGAAATAATTGTTTTATGCTCGACCTTCTCAGGTCTTCAACGGTTACCAGTTTCCAAAGACCTTCTTCTATGGTGATCGTTTATTCAACTTTATCCTATTCATCCCCCCCCCCCCCCAATAATGTTGAAAATAGTTAAAAGACATATCTTTATATATATCATTAAAATGTTCACCGCAGGAAACCATTTTACTTGTATGTATTTTGTGCTGTACATGAAACTTAAAGCTATAAATAGATATGGCCTTAACATTGTGAAAGTCCAAAAATATATTTATTGGCGTCCGCGCCGAAGCGCGGCGCCTTTTATGGAATTAAATCAGATTTTGTGAAAGGGCGACAGCAACTTCTCGAGCCTTTTAGTCGGTCATAATAAAAGCCGATCATTCCGATCGTAATGAAGGTGCTTGATTATTAATTAAAAATGAAATGTTGCGATATGTTCAATGAACAGCGAACTGGAACATTTCGCAATGCAAACATTTTCAAATGAAATAAACCTTTTCCGTCAATAAATCGCGCTCTTCGGGGGTTTCTTATTTATCATTTTGTAGTACGCAGTGGGTTATTATGGTATGTTATTGTTGTACATGAATCCGAAAGATGTAAATAGAATGATGAGTTGATGACCTAAAAATAACAATCTATTTATAGAGGAATGTACTCCTATCGGTAATTCCCGGTCTATTTTGACCAGGATTTACTAGTGACCGGCGAATAGTATCACACGTTAATTGTCCTGTCTCTCCCGGTTTTGGAGTTGATATATGACATCGTTACAGTACAGAACAGATTTTTTACAGATAAATAAGCTTTTTCTCCAAAATTAATGTTTGTCACTTAGTTTGGTTACACTAATTAATAAACACAGATCAATTCTCAAATTTATTGATTATTGTTTATACATAAACATACAATTCGAAAAAACAACAACAACAACAATAGCATGTTTCATTTTATCTATATGAGATAAAAACAATAAACATGTACAATAATTGAATTCTTAAAATATATTTTACAATTTTAATAATAAGGGATTAGTAAACGTAAAAAGTCAGTATTAAAATAGCACATAAAACACACAAAAAAAAGAAAAGAAAAGAAAACAATATTCATAAAATCTGTATTTTTTTTAATTAAAATAGATATTACAATTATTGTATAATAAACAATTATGCTCAACATGATCAACATGGTAATATAACCAGTATCATATTTTTACTAAGTGTAAACAGATACCTTAAGAGGGGCTCTTGTCGTATAACGGAGAAAGAACTCACGGATGTTACATACTTTTAATATACAAATACAAACACACAAGTGAACGAGTGGAATACCAAAGCTGAACTCCCCTCTCACATTTGAGAATAGTATATATAAAGACAACCTGTCATAAGGACATTTTATAATGTATCTAAATACACACGTTTTAGAGTTACATATATTAATCATCTTGACATAAGATCAGTTCGCTTGTATCCTGAACTATAATACTCATAAATCATGTCATGTTCCATAGTGCACATTATGAAATAAAAACCTTAATATATGTATATACATGTTGACTTGTCATTCTTTTTGAATATAGCGTGTATGACTAATTAGCCTGTGCAATCAGCTATACGACAAATATCCTCCTTTTCTTACATAAAAAAATATTTAAAAAAAAAAGTATTAAACAAGGTATTATTTAATATCAAACATTTCAAACTCGTTCTAACAAATTAAAAAAAAATCTAAAATCTAAAATCAACTTGACATCTGTTTTACCCTTAAGGTAATATCCGGTCAGAGATGTCCGGTCAGAGATGTTATCTTATTTTGAAAAGAAAAAATCACCTCAGGTCATATCATCTCTGATTGGTCAATTGAATATCGTGTGTAACCTTTTCATGTTTGAATTCATTTTAATAGAAAAATTTGGATAGATACAATGTAGCACAGGTAAGTTTACTTTTGATATTAGTTTTAAAAGTTTAGAATAAGTAAAATAATAATTATTGTTAAATGTTCGATTAATCTTTATGGAAAAAAATACAAAAATAATATGTTAAAGTGACATAAGGTAAATATTATAGCTTTATAAGTTTTTCAATAAATATTAAATTTCCTTTATTTCATCATAAAAAAAGAAAAAAAAAGTTAATTTCTAGAGATCAAGAAAACATAAAAAACAAACAAATAAGTTAACAATTTTCAAAGAACAAATTATTTTAAGAATATTAATTAGAAAAAACTTTAAGGTATAAAATTTAACAGAATTATATGTATGATAAGAGTAAAAAAGATATTTATATACGAACAAGTTTAAAAAAATATTATAAACAATTGATAATTGATAAAATGTCCAGGTGTTTCATTTCCTGTAAAATGTGTATTGTGCATGCGCATTGAACACTTCCTGTGACACGTATATTTTTTGTAACAGGTACTTGCTGACATCAGTATGGCTTGGTCTTCGTAACGTTTCGGGAATTTCAAATCGTTGGTATGTAGCTTTTTCAAGTATAATTTTAAATCGACACTCATAATTGTTCATAAATGTTTGATGTTCTTGAAGATTCTTTTAAATTTGTATATATGTATTTGATATGTGTAAACGTGGACTTTATACACAAGTTGATAAAGTTATATTCGAATATTTATTGGCACATCTGTAAACGCTGTTCTTGTTTCGTCGTTGTAAAAAGAATGTCTTGTATTGAACAATACAACAAAGTAATGATAGATCTATAATTCTTCATTTATGTAGCAATGTTTTTGAGTAAAAGATAATAAAATTAACAGTTTGCTGTTGCACAATTCTCGAAAATGTTTATGTGATATTTATTTTGGATATCTCTGTCGCGCACAAATAATTATTTTGATAAGAAGTTGTCATCAGTATTTCTCTGGGTTTTTGTTTTTAAGTTTATATAACACATAGAAAAACACATTCTATTGATAAACGGAAGTTTTCGGCTTCTCTGGTTGAAGACAGGAACAAAAGTTTATTTGATTCCACAATTTTGTTGTTGTTGTTTTTGTTGTTGACGGCTGTAACAGCATAGTTATGTATTTGAAACATCGTAGACGTTTATTTCATACAATTTTACATCGAAGAAGGTGTTTATGATTATATCTGTATGGTTTTTACATCGAAGAAGGTGTTTATGGTTATATTTGCATGGTTTTACATCGAAGAAGGTGTTTATGGTTATATCTGCATGGTTTTGCATCGTAGAGGCTGACTGTAATATTTCTAGTCAGGCGGTGTTTTACTGTACCGGCGAATTCGCTCGCACCTCTCTGTCTTGGCTGGACGACAAGTGATCGTTAGACCAATATTTTGCATTTTCGTCCGTTGTCAGATCGGTTAATAGATATTATATACAATAAACATAATTTTGATTTTTTCAGATATTTGAACAACAAGACAACTGTCATAAAATGCATAGGATAAGAATTCCAATGAAAGATGTTCTCTAGTGTAAGTATCTTATTTATGTAATACTTGATATTTAAAAACATTTTACTTTTCATATTGAATTTTTTTTAGACATATTTTGTTAGTTTTTAACTAAGCTATTAACTTTAGTTTTTTTTTTTGACAATAAGACTTATCCCAATTTAATCTTTATTTAATGATTGTGCGTTGACAGTTGAAACATGTATGTATACACGTGTTATTCTAATATGAAATAAAGTAAATAATCAATTTGAAACTCATGATTAAGTGCTGTCATTTACTTTGAAATGCATTTTAATTAACCGATCTATTGATAAACATATAGCGAATAACGATCATTTCAAGCAATAATAAAAAAAATCTAAGATATATAGTTCTAATAAAAACAACTTGAAAATTAATGTAAATGAATACAACCACCAAAAATATAAAAATATATGGTTAAATAATGTTATTTTCTGTTTTGTTTTATATTGTTTTCTTTTAACATATATATTTTCTTCTTTCCATAATTACTATTTACAATGCCTGAGGTCAATTTACTGAAAATTAGTATAGCATGTAACACGGAATATAACGTTCTATAACAATTCAGCTAATCCTTGTAAAATCATTTTAAAACTTGATTTCGACCCTTTATCTTTACTTTGTAACTTTGTGTTTACCTTACCAGATACTTTATATCGAGGTTTTACAATACTTTTCTTTTTACTAGAAATAGAGTTTATAAACATTTCATTATCCGAATCATTATCATCAGCCATTGAATCTGACTGAATAGCATTATATGCTGCTTGTGACTGAGGATTGCTATTTACTTGTATGGAATTTGAGTCTGATAATTCTGAATCAGTCTGCGATTGCATTTCTTCTGAATGTGCATTACTTTGAGTATTGTCATTATTTGAAATTTGTTGTTGTTGTCGAAGATGTTTCTGTAATTCAGCTAATGGAATATCATCTTCACTATCAGAATTTGACCTTTCTTTTCTTACATTCTTAGCAACTTGGGGTAATACTGATTCTGGTATTTCTGAAGCATCATCAGTATCGCTATTTTCAGGTGTAACTACAAATGTGGCATTTCTTTTTGGTCGGCCAGTATCATCTGCTTTTGGTATTGACCAGTCATTAATATTTGCAAGCCTAATTTGTTCTGCATGGACTTTAACTGTTGAATTGTCAAATTGATTTTTTATTATATAAGTTAATGGTGACCTTTTCTCCATAATTCTATAAAATGGCTTCCAATTCACATCTAGTTTGCTTCTCTTACGAAAATTCTTATAAAATACGGGATCGCCTATTTCAAATTTGATATCTTTTGCGGTCTTATCTGCATAGCTAGCTTGTTCTCGTTTTGCTTTTTTAAGGTTCTTATAAACAGATAGAAAAGTATTATGTTGTTCTTGTAATGCAATTTTGTGATACTCTTCGCCATGATAGCGCTGCCTTGGTTGTAGCAACAGGTCGACCGGGAGAATTGCATCACGGTTATATAACAAATAAAATGGACTATGCTTCGAAGTCCTAGAGACATTGAATCTAAGTGCGGCTAGTGTCATGTTAAGATGAATATCCCATTGTTTGAGATTTCCCTGGATTCTTTTAGCTAAGATATCATGTATGACATGGTGAGAACGTTCATTTTTCGCGTTTCCGGCAGCATGATAGGTAGTTGTACGCACGTGATCAATTCTTAACTCTTTAAGTGTTTCTTTGAAAGCATTACTTGTGAATTCTGATCCATTGTCAGTGACAATTTGTAATGGACATGCGTATCTAGGGTAAATTTCTTCTAAAAGTAAATGTATAATTGTATCAGTACTTTTGTCAGCAGTAGGAAAACACTCGGGATAACCACTGTAAAGGTCAATAAAACAAATAATGTAGCGGTTACCACTCATTGTTTTCTCATAGGGCCCAATAACGTCGATACTCATGGTCTGGAATGAATACATTGGTACTCTTGTTTCGCCCATAGGTGCTTTTATTTTTGTAAGATTACGTGACTGACAATCAACACATTTAGAAACATATTCATACAATTCTTTGAACATATTTGGCCAAAAATATTTTTGTTTTATTGTTGTAAATAACCTTTGTGTTCCTGGGTGACCATTATTTAAATGATATTGAGTAATGACAAGGTGTATTAAGTGTTGCGGAACAAACAATCTAAGATTAGGATTATCATCTACATTAGACAGATAATAAAGAACTTGGTCAATTTCTAAATATTTGCTCTGCACTGATTTAGTTGGCTGTCCGTGACGTAGTAATATTTTTAGTTCAAGAATAGTTTGATCTTTATCTTGCTCTGAGGCCATATTTAATTTTTCGAATTGTTTAATATCTTCTACAATTGGCTCTTGAAATTGGTATTCTTTGTTGGCTATTTCTTTGGCATTAAAGTGTGTAGAATCAAAAGCATTTACTTCATAGCTTTCATTAGTTTTCACAGCATGTACATTATTATTATTTGAATTATAACTTGAATTTGAGACTGTTATTTCGAAGGCATTGTCATTTATATCAGGCTTATAAAGTTCAATATCGGACTTGTTAGCATTTTTATCATCAGCTGGAGGTCTAGAAAAGAAATCGGCAATTAAATTTAATTTTCCTGGCAAATATTCAATTTTACAGTTATAGGCAGAAATATTTAAAGCCCAAAGCTGAATTCTTTTGTTTTGCATAGGTGCTTCTAGAAGATATTTTAAAGGTTTATGGTCTGTAAATATAGTAAACTCTGCATTATGTAAATAAACATCTAATTTTTGTAACGCATAATGAATACTGAATGCTTCTTTTTCTATGGTACTGTACTTTCTTTGAGATTCACTTAATTTATGAGATAAGAAGTATATAGGTTTTTCAATACCAGATTTGTCACATTTCTGACTTAAACATGCTCCGACCACTAAATCTGAGGAGTCCGTGTATAGAATATAAGGCTTATTTGGGTCTGGGAATGCTAAAAGTGGAATACGTGTTAACATTTTCTTTAATTGTTCAAAACTTTCTTGACATTCTTTTGTCCATTTAAACAAAACACGTTTTCTTGTAAGATTTGATTAGAGGTTCAACAATTTTAGAATATTTAGGGCAAAATCTTCTATAAAAACCAGCAGCACCAAGTAAAGATCTGACATCTTTAACACATTTTGGTACCGGAAGTGACCTAATAGCTTTTACTTTTTCTGGGTCTGGTTTTATACCTTCATGATCAATTATAAAACCAAGGTACTTTGTTTGTTGCTGAATAAAACTGCACTTTTTCAGTTTAAGTTTTAATTTATGCTCTTTTAGCTTTGAAAATACTGTCTGTATATGTGATAAATGTTCATTTAATGACTTAGAAAATATTAGAATGTCGTCAAGATAACTGACAGCAAATGCCTCTAAACCTTGTAAGACATGTGACATGAGTTCTTGGAAAACTCCAGGGGCAGAAACTAGGCCAAAAGGTGTTACGTTGAACTCGAACAAGCCTCGGAATGTCGTAAAAGCCGTTTTTTCCTTGTCTGATTCATGCACGGGTATCTGCCAAAACCCTGAGTGCATGTCTAGTGTTGTAAAATATTTTGAAGACCCTAGTAGTGTTAAAATATCGTCAATTAATGGGAGAGGATATGATGTTGGCTTTGTAATTTTATTCAATTGTCTAAAATCAACACAAAACCGTTTACTGCCGTCACGTTTTCCGACAATAACAACAGGAAATGAATAAGGGCTATGACTTCTTCTTATAATATTAGCATCTAACATCTCATCGATTGCGTCACTCATAAATTTTCTATTGTTTAAAGGTGTGCGATATGGGCTTAATTTGATTGGAGGATGATTACCTGTTGGTATTTTCATGGTTACAGTATCTGTCTGTGATAATTCAGAATCTTTATTTGCGAAAATATTTTTATTTTTCCTTAATAAGTCTCTAACAATATTAAAATGCTCTGAAGGTGTATGAATATCACGTTCGAAATCGTTGTTAAGAGGGGAAGTTGTTTGAAGAGCCTCTCTGACCGAGTTAATGCTCTCAACTTCTGAAACTTTAGCAACTACTGAATCTCGTTTCAATCTTATAGCTTTATGTGTATTATTGACAATCATAATAGGAAATCTTCTATCAGCCGAAAGTTTCATAACAGAATTTGTTATCATAAGACCTGGTTCAGAAGCAATCATTCCAGTTTCTATACTTTTTAATTCATATAATTTATCATTTTCCAAGCCTGGATTTTGTTTTAACTTAGCAGTGCACACATTAACTGTTTGAGGTTTCAGAATAACATCCTGTTTTAATCTAACAATTGATGCAATATGAATATCTTCTTCGAGGGGTACATATGTATTATTAACTCTTAAGCAGCCTAAATCAAAATATAATCTAACGCCATTTTGTGTTAACCAATCACGGCCTAAAATAATATTTCTATTCATTTTAGAAACAACATAGAATTTTTGAGTTGTTTCTGTTTTCCCTATTTGAAAATTAAGATTTATATAACCATCTATATGTAAATAATTTCCGTCAACTGAACATAAATTTATTTTCTGTTTTATAAGTTTAGGGGGATTCTTCAATTTTCTATATATTCTGCGATGCAGAAGACAAACTTCAGCACCTGAATCTACTAACGATCTGTATTTATAGTTTTCTATTTTAATCAAACACGAATTAGGGCTTCCAGCTAATGCTATACTAAATTTTGGTATTTTATCGTTCCTGTCAATGACCCCTTTGTGACAGGAACTTGCTAGTTTTCCTGAAAATTTATTTTGTTTCTGTCGTAAAAATTTTGTTTACGACATTCACGCATAATATGACCAAAATTATTACATTTCCAGCACTTAATCTTTGATTTCAAACTATTATTGCTATTATTTTTCCTAAATCGTGAAAAATTTTGTCGGTGAAATACAGAATATATTTCATTTTTCCTAAATCTACAATTACGCACATGGTGACCTGGTCTCTTACAGTACACGCAAAAATTTCTTGTATAATATTTATTAGAATTATTTGCTCTGTAATTATTGTATTTTGCATGATTTTGAGAATTAGAAAATTTTACTCTGGCAGAAAATCTAGCTCTGAAATTCTGTTCATTCATTGCGCAAGTAATTGCTTCTTGTAAAGTTTTTGGCTTTTCTCTCATAAGTTTAAGTTTTAAATAATTATGCGCTAAATTATCCGTAAACAATTCTACTAACTGAAGTTCAATTAAACTATTATCTCCTAGTTTATAATTTTCATAAGCGGTTTCAGCACAATTAATAAATTTTTCCCCAAAAATTTGAACACTTTCTCCCAAATCTTGTTTTAAATTTCTCAAAAGATAAAATTCGTGATGTAAATCTTTAATTTCCCCAAATCTAGTACTTATTTCTTCTTTTAATTGTTTCCACGAATTACGAGGATTATCACGCAAATATCTACATATAAAATCGCTTACAGTCCCTTTACTTGATTGAAATGCGACTAATTTTATTTTATTATCATCCAAACCTTTTAAAATAGCATATTTTTCTATAGATTTTATCCAGTCATTAAAATATTTAGAATTTCCATCAAAATTTTGTACTATTTCTGATAAACCCTGTGTACCTATGACAGTTGAAATATTGTCGAATCTATCCGACAAATTTTCAAAAATTGTAGCTATTTCTTGATCTGACATCTTCAAAATTAGCAAATTACAGGTATATAAACGATCACTCACCTTTAATTTTCTATTTCAGGTACTTCGTTGTGTCCCGCTGTCCAAAATCGTCGCTTCGACATCGCTGGTCTTAGGCGCCAAATCAACCGTTGTCGTATAACGGAGAAAGAACTCACGGATGTTACATACTTTTAATATACAAATACAAACACACATGTGAACGAGTTGAATACCAAAACTGAACTCCTCTCCCTGGACATTTGAGAATAGTATATATAAAGACAACCTGTCATAAGGACATTTTATAATGTATCTAAATACACACGTTTTAGAGTTACATATATTAATCATCTTGACATAAGAACAGTTCGCTTGTATCCTGAACTATAATACTCATAAATCATGTCATGTTCCATAGTGCACATTATGAAATAAAAACCTTAATATATGTATATACATGTTGACTTGTCATTCTTTTTGAATATAGCGTGTATGACTAATTAGCCTGTGCAATCAGCTATACGACACTCTTCGCTAATAGCGATTTACATGTATATCCGTTGCTATTAATAATCACGATCATAAAGAAATAACAAGTACTTTTATATTCTAATCTCTAGCATGCCAATCAAAGTTCATAATGAACAATGTCTTTCGTCCGTTCATTCATAAGTGATATACAATTCTGGTAAAAACCAATTAACCATTGAAAAGATTATAAGAATATCTTGTCATCATATGTCTACTAATTCATCTTCACCTGCTGCATTTCTTGCTTGGACGCCTTTTGATGCTTTGCATCAATGCTTTTCTTGTAGGAGTAGTATAACGGCTATGGTAATAAATAAGTTGTGATTAATGCTTCGGAGGGATCACTAAATTTCCAGTTTTTTAGCTCGATGATACGAAGTATACGGAGAGCTGTCCTACTCGCCCCGGCGTCGGCGTCCAGATTTCAGATTAAAATTTTAGTGCAGTAAAATATTTTTTACCATAACTTTTTAATCTCTTAAGATATCAACTTTAAATATATGTTCCTCATAATAAACCACATCTTATGTGACAAGGTTCATAACTCTAGCTACAATATTTTCAGATTTTTCACCTTGAACTTACAATTTTCCTTAATATATATATATATTACTGTTATTTCTTTATTTCATAAGGGATCAACTTCATACTTTAAATATATATTCCTTATAATCAACCACATCTTATGTGACAAGGTTCATAACTCTAGCTACAATATTTTCAGATTTTTCACCTTGAACTTACAATTTTCCTTAATATATATATATATTACTGTTATTTCTTTATTTCATAAGGGATCAACTTCATACTTTAAATATATATTCCTTATAATCAACCACATCTTATGTGACAAGGTTCATAACTCTAGCACCAATATTTTCAGATTTATCTCCCCTTGAACTTAGAATTTTACTTAAAAATATTTTTTTTACTGTTACTTCTTTATTTCTGAAGGGATCCACATCATACTTCAAATATGTGTTCCTTATCATCAACCACATCTTATGTGACAAGGTTAACATTTAGCACCAATATTTTCAGACTTTTCTCCTTGAACTTACAATTTTCCTTAAAAAATATTTTTTTTACTGTTATTTCTTTATTTCATAAGGGATCAACTTCATACTTCAAATTTATGTTCCTTATCATCAACTGCATCTTATGTGACATGGTTTATAACTCTAGCACCAATATTTTCAGATTTATCCTCCCATGGACATACATTGTTTTACTTGAAAAATGTTGTTTTTTTTACTATAACTTCTTTAGTTTTAAAGGTATCTACCATAAACTTCAAATACATATTCCTCATCATAAATTACATCTTATGTGACAAGGTTCATAACTATTGAAGCAATATTTTCAGATTTAGCTCCCTTTGAACTTAGGACTTTTTTAAAGAAATGTTATAACTTCTTTACTATTTAAGATAACATACTTCAAACTTCAAATATATATTTCTTATCATTACACACATGTGTGTGACAAGGTTCATAACTCTAGCGTGACTATATTAATTATTCCCCCTTGAACTTGGAATTTATGTTAACAGATGTTATTATTTTACTAAAACTTGATACATTATTATACCTAACTGATTTTTCATAAAGGTTTGTCGTCCTTACTGCGTCCAGTATTTCATAAGTCGAACTTCGTTGTCCTGTGACAACTCTTGTTATACTTCACAACAGCAGGTGTCAAATGCCGTGTGGCAGCTGTTTAAAGTTGCCCTGTACCTTACTTCAGTGTTGTTATATTTTTCTGGTCCTTCGGGATCATTGAGAATTGAGTACCGCTCAAGCCGGTGCTAGGGGGCGTGAGGGGTGTATCATTCATGTGCAATTCTTATACAATTCTGTTGTGATTAATGCTTCCGAGGGATCACTTTGTTTCCAGATTTTTTTACAGGCAATGAAATGCAAACATATTCAACAACAAATTTCACTCTATAATTTTATCGCAAAAAATTAAGTAGGCCATCTAAAATACGAATTATACTATGTTATATCATAATATTATCATTTTGAAATTGTGTTTTCTGTAGGATCTTTCCGGTAAAATAATAGCTCCTTTTATTTTTACGGCCCTGATTGCACTTCTGACATTTTTTTTACCGTGAATATTTAAATTGACCCTGATTTCCCGAGTATTTGCTGTAAGAAGTTGATTCTATTTTGTTTGAAGGCAATCGGTTTTATGATGGTTTGAGTGTAATGTTGATTTTGCGAATACTGTGACATTTTAACAACAGAAACTTTCGTCTGCAGTTTTAACATGGAGTGTTATGGGTTTATTGATAGGGATGTAAACACACTGGTGGGTCAGGCGAGGATTTTGAAGCAATTCAACAAAATGGTAGATTCATCTCCCTTTAAATCAATTAACAATAACTCTTTATTTAAAACCAATGTCAAGTAGCTTTTATATCTTTGACTCGCATGAACATGATGCTAATGAATTTCCTCATACCCTATGATACTTGTATACAATTCAGATTGATAAATAATGTTGCACTATATGAACATGCGATGCAAATTTGTTCGATATTTTTAATGTACCATTATTTTATTGCGTATAACAAAATTTGATCTTTTTTAAATTCATACCAAATTTTTCATCTTCTTTCAGTATTTATCAGGGACTAAGAATTTTGCTATTGTATTATAAGTCCCAGGTATCAAAAGAAACCATTTTACTTAATTTGACATGAAAAGAATGCATGTTTTATATATATATTAGTCGTTTTTGTAACGTTTTTTTTTGTTTGTATATTTGTTACAATTATAATAATAATAATAAAACAGACTGTGTTCATTTTGACTACTGTTTTGTATGTTTCAAAGAAAATACAAATTAACATTTCATATGCTTATCTCTAGCAAGCCTTCCAAAGTTCTTGATGAACATTGTCTATTGTACGCCCATTTAGCAATGGTATACACGTTCAATTCTGGTAAAATCCAATTAACCATTAATAAGTTTAGAAGATTATTTGGTCATCAGATGTCTTCTTGTTCATCGTCACTCGCTGCATTTCTTGCCTGGATACCCTTTGATGCTTTGCATCAACGCCTTTCTTGTTATAACATGATATACCAATTGCCGCGAAACATGTAACGAAGATTTTAAAAAATAAAGTCGATGTAAGTTTTTGTTTTGACTTATTTACATGTTGATTTTTATATTTCTTACCATGATTAGTTGTTGATATTTGTAGAACATGAGTAGCATTGTAGGTAGAAAATGTACATGCTTTGATATTTTTTATGTCATCTAATAATTTTTCACTGTAGTGACACAAACAGAACAATGTTGCACTACTGTCATGTCACATTGCATTAACAAGTCTTGTAAGTCTTGTTTGTATTGGAATTGTACTTTCCTTACCAGGAAGGCATCAGTGAAAGCATTTTTTTTCAAATTTAATGTATGGCCCCTTTCGCATGGGCAGTGCTACGCTCCCTTCGCAGCTCACTGAATACACTCACGTTACTTCAGACCATTATTCGTATTGAGCTACCGTTTACGTAGACTCCATTACAATTGACCATCCGTAAATAATATATCATCGCGAATTAACCATTTTGGTCATTAAAACAAACAATTTTAAGTAAAGTACAAATGAACACACATCGTTTACAATACGGTGCGTCAAATTCAGGTATGTGACAAGTCGTTACAAGTAAGCTAGTCACTGATTGGCTGAAGTGTAGACACGGATTTTCTTGTCTAAAAATAGAAATATATCGGTCTGAACCGAGGATTCGACCGATGCGCAAGAGAGGAGGGCAGTGTGTACGATAAGTATAATAACGCAAACAAAACACCCGGAATAATGTACACTAGTTCTTAATCTAAATAGTAAATGACCTGTGCACAGGAATGATTTGAATGTGCGCATTTTTGTTGCGCAGAGCATCTCTATTGCTGCATTGCAGCAACATTTGTACTTGTTACATACAGCAACTGCATTTTATTGTTTTGAATAAAGGCCTCCGGCCCAAAATACAAATTATAATCAAAGCAGCTTTGCATATATTTTTGCTCTGTCTGCAATACACATTGTTGTCAAGACATACTTACCCTTTTCTTACTTATTTATATAATTTTTTAATAATTTCATGAACAAGAAAGGCAATATTTTTTATTTTTTCCATATTTTGACTTTTAATTGTAATTGTAAAAATACCATTTCGGTCTGAGTCCCGGCTGCGACGTGCCGATTTTTTGTGTGATTATAATTATGTAAACATTTCAAATTCACCTTATCATACCTGTGGTAAGAAATCTAGTTAATACTGTAGGATAATTTATTTCCTAAAAATGAAACTCAAATGCCCATCACTAATAACCTAATAACCTTGAGGGGGTTAACGATTTGAGTGGTAGATTCTATGTATGCATTTTGGTAGATTTGTTTCATGTTTTATATTTTCTACTCCACACTGAATAAAGATTATAGCAAAGCAGACGACACTTCAGTATGATATTGTAAATATATAGACAATTCTGATATGTTTATTTCATAAATCCGTTGTTTATTTAATAGACACGAGGTTATCTGATTTGTACGAGGGGGTATAGCCCCCGAGTATATATCAGACCGCCGAGTGTTTTGATGTTCTTTCTCTTTTGTTTCATAGAAGTACTGAATATAAGAAGATTTTCCGTTGGTCATTTTGAAATTACAAACTGAAATCGGTGAATCTCAATTGTGATTCTAAAATAGAATGTAAAGGACATTTCTAATCATTCTAAAAATGCAAAGGACATTTTGAAATAGAGAAAAAGAATGAAGGCTCTTCTCATTATGTTTAGCAGTTTTATAGACGGGCAGCAAATGGAACATGTATGTTTCAGAATTAATTCTATGTAATTGTTATCAGAATGTTTATTATTTAATTATGTTAGGTAATCTTTGCAGCCTTAAATAGAACAAACAAAATGTATGCTTGCTATTTTTGTGGGTTATTGATATAGGGGAAATATTAGATATGAAATGAAATAATTTACTAAATTTAAATTAACTAATCTTTACACCGTGTCACGATCAGGTGATTTGAGATAACACAGATAAGGGCGTATCATGTTATTAAGTACAAAATTAAAAACGAAACAAGGCAAAGGTAAGCATTTATCTTTAGTCTTCTTATTTATAAATAAATTATGTATTCTATATCATTACAAGACTGTACAAAATGGTCAAATGCATTGAAATTAGCTCTGCTAAAACTTAAATACTTAAATATACAAAACACACAGATAAAATCTAACATGAGTTTAAAAAAGTTTGTTTATGATCTTTGTATGCATACCAGAGGTTCATAAAGTACCTGTACAGGGAATTATCGAGTGTATTTTACAATTATTTTTATGTTAACCCTTTACTGCATGAGCATTTTGTGAAAAATGGCTGTTTGTATTGAAAAGCCTCCTGTTACTCGTACAAGTTCAAATTGCTATGAAACTATAAAAAAGCTTCAATACTGTCCAAACTTGGCACAAATATTGACAGGACCATAGCATCTGTAACAGTATACTCAATCTTAAATTTCTTGTTACCATGGTAACGAGGAGACATCTCAAAAACGACAAAAATCATTATTTTGTGTTGATTTTTCCATCTAAACTGATTTCAAAATTATGCAACTTCTCAATGGATTGAGAAGTCAAAGGCTTTTAACCGTTGGTTACATGTTACCTTAATGTCGACCTGACGCCATTTTAGCCTCTCACAATTTTTTCTTGGAGATGAAGTCTGCTGCCCCCTTCAAACCCCCAAGCAGAAGGGGTCACATCACCCCTTTGGCAACCCTTGATGTATCTATTTGATAGGGGATGTCGCCGATCACCTTTTAACACCATTCCTCAAACGAAAGGAAGCGTTTAGGTTCTGAATATGGCATTATTTCATTGTTTGAGGCCTCTAAGGGAGGGACGTATGAATATATAAACTATTGAGTTAAATTTAAAATACCATTACAAGGAATGTTATTTTAAAGAAATTCTTATACAAGGAATTATCAAGTGAATATATTCTATTCATGTATTTGTGAAAATATTTTCTTTTAAATCACTAGGCGTAGATATTGTTTACAACAGGATGGGAGAGAACACAGTAAAGCACATTTGTGATTTACTTAAACGTCTCTTTGATATGGACGCGCCGTATATATTTTTTATCAAGATAGTGTTGTAATATTTTAAAGATTTTCGGTCTTTCATTTCATTCGATAAACAACTAAATATATTACATTTCAGTTGATGCTTTCAATGTATATATTAACTTAGAATAGATAAAAAATCGTTTATTCCAGAATGGCAGAAGGAATCAATGTTCAATCTTTAAAAGACGGTTCTGATGCAGATTATGAATTCACGTGTACACCTTGCAGCAAAGACAATATTAGAGAAGAGGCTGACAAGTATTGTCGTGAGTGTCACGAATATTTGTGTAAGACATGTACGATATACCATGGCCGACTTAATATTGCACAGCAACATAAACTGTTGGATAAAAGCGATGCTAAACAAGGTGTTGTTGTTGCTAGGACTAAATGTCACTACCATGCTGACCGATACATTGAAATGTACTGTAAAACACATGATATGGTTTATTGTACGATGTGCATTGCAACAGAACATAGGTAATAATTGATCTAAACATATTTAACATTTTAATCAGTCTCAGTTTTATTCTTTGGCTATCATGAAAGTTTGCCTTCAATTTTAGATATGTGAATCGGATCAAATGTAGTATTATTTTAGCAGATTATCTTTCTGCTACTGTAGAAAATAATATCGGATACTGCATCCAGTTGGAATATATTTTTTATTATATTTATATATAAATAATCTCCGACCTAATTATATATTTTAGGTCTTGTGATGGAGTAAACAAGATTGAAGATGTGTCTAAACAATGCGTAACCCAAACGGAGATTCAAGCCCTGTTAGAGGAGACAAAGAATTTACATGACAACGTGAAGTCCCTGACAGTAAAACAGAAACAAAATCTAACTGCTATAGAAAAACAGAAAGAAGCTATTGAAGGGAAACTAGATGAAACAGAGACAAAACTTATAGAACATATTAGAAAATTGAAAAGACAGACAGAAAAATGTTTAAATGATAAATATTCTACATTGAAGGAGGATCTCGTGCCTGTTATCAGTGTATCAGGTCGAACAACTGAATGCTTGAAGCAAAGTACGAAACAACTGCATACGATTGACAGTCTGATTTTAGAGCAAAAATTTGTCCAGATTATGTTGATGAAGAAGACTGTCAAAGATGCAAACACTTTCATTACAGAAGTTGCGGCGGAAGGTACACAATTTATCGATTTTACTGTAAATAGGGAGTTGACAGACATCTTCACAATCGAACAGTCTTTAGGTGATGTAACAACCGGAATTGTTGGTGAGCAGAAATTGAAACAGAGGCAGTACACACTAAAGTCAACGAAGGAGATCAATGTGAAGCTAAGTAAGGACAATCAGGAATGTTACATATCTGATATCTGCAGACTTCCTGATGGTACGGTCCTTCTGACTGATTTTAACAATTACAAAGTTAAAAGACTAAACACTAACGATAGTGTACAATGCGTCTTCAAATTAGACTCTTCACCTACAAGTATAAGTTGTGTTAGTAACAGAAGAGTTGCTGTGAAATTGAACAAGAATAAAATTCAACTCTTTTCCGTTGGCTCATATCTGTCCAAAGAAAGGACTATAGATATACAAAACGGTAGACTGTTTGGATTAACAATGTTTTGTGGTGATCTATGGTCATCAGCTTCAAATGGTGTTAACGTATACAGTACTTCATCTAATCTTGTAAAATCTATCGTCCACGATCAATACGAGAAGTCTATATTTAAATCCTCTGTTCAGCATATGGCAGTCACTTCTGAAACAGTGATCGTGACAGATAACTGGGATGGAGCTGTTTGCCTCAACAAGGATGGAATAGTCATCAGAGAGATGAGAGACAGTAGATTGAGATGTACCGAAGGTGTATGTGTAGCTGACGATGAAACGGTATTCCTATGTGGATATCAGTCACACAACATCGTTATGTTCAACAGGGATGGTAATTGTCTCGGAGAACTGATTGGGAAAGACTCTGGCTTGTTATCACCAATAAGTATGAGCTTTGATGGGAAAAGAAATAGGTTACTTGTTGGATGCTACATCAAAGACACCTTATTTGTAATTGATTTGCTTGTTAGATAGATCACAAGACTTTCAACTTCTAACTGGTAAATTTCATAAAAGAAATTTCTGCCGGATTCAGATGTTTTGCAGTATTAAGGCTATGCATGCAAAATAAGTACCAATGCTGTCTAATACGTTTATACTGATTTTTTTCAATCATTTGAAATATCATGTCATAAAATCAATATGTGAATTATTTGAAATAATATTTGCATACAACATTATGTTATCCTTCGATGCACATGCGTTAAATATTAGAAAATGCTTAGAAAATAGAAAATACGAAAATCGTTTAAAATTATTTATTTTTAAACCTTTGTAGAATTTTCCATGTAACACAATTATATTATTCTTCTATAAACAAGATATAATGTCAGTTTTATATATTATGATACAAATGCTTTTTTAAATAACGTGATTTGTTTCAATTAAAATACAAAAATTAGATCTCTGTAATGGACAAATTTTGCGAAATATTTTAAGGTGCTACAAACCGAACATTTATGTTTCATGCAGCTTGATTTTTATGATGAAAGTTAAGAAAAATTCAATAATCATTATGTTAAAAAAGATTGTTATGTTATTATGTTCGGAATGTCGAAACATTACCCTAGAGTTGGAATTTTTTGCGTTACTTTTTATTGTGGTTAATATTACGAAAAGAATGCAATTTTATATACATTCTGTCAAATTCACAAATGTTAATTACATGCTATAGCCAATTTTAAATTCCAAGAAAAAAGCTTGTAAATAGTCGTAATATCCGACAGAAGAAAAAGAACAGCAATATTTTATTTGGCACTAATAACTTTATCGCCAGTACGTTGTTACAATGTATGGCGGTAAAGATTAACATACATAAGAAAAGTAAGACAATGTTAATCACAATACAATAACAAAGTTACAAATGTATAGCTAATAACAAATAAACATATTACACAAACCATATTGTTGGTGGTGTGAGCCTAAGCAGTGATCAAGTAGGATCTCTCTTTAAATGAGCTGTCAGGATCTGTTTCAATATGACCTTGAAGTCTGTTTAGCAACTGTTATGTTGTATGGATGATAACAAGATTCAAACTATTCTACTATTTATTATAACCATTTAATACATATTGTTAAGACCAGAGCTCAAGTGAAAATTGACCCAGGTATCAGAGAGGCATGATCACATATATAACATAGCATTAATGAATATCAAGTAAAGGGAAGTAATCCCATTAACTATACAACTAAACATGTAAAGAGTTATCTAATCTTGATATCATAACATCTCCCTTTGTTTGAAATTGAGAAGCTCATAAACATTTGTCCGCTATAAATGTCAATTTATTCTGAGAAAGCATTAAGCAATAAAAAATAATGTCCATGCCAAGACTGACATCAATTAATGAATTTGAGATAAAAACATTTAATTATTATGATAAATTTGTCCTAGAAAAAAAATGCTTTCATACTGTCAATATAAACTTTGTACTTTTTCTGTTTAAAGCACAATAAACACTTCTGCAATTTATGCCTATTTGTTCAATGTGTATATATACACTTATTTTACACAGACTGAATTATCTTTGTTTAACCTGCCTCTCAGAACGAGTTACATAAGCTTCTGGATATGTATTTGGCAGTTTGAGAGTATTTGTTGATGCAGGCGACTTTGAGTGATTAAAGGTCAGATTATCACTCTTGACACTGGCATGCTGTGAGGTTAACTGGCGTGAAAGTTTATCATGGGAATCTGCTGTGTCTTGATTACTACAAATGGCCTTTGTAATTTGATTGTTATCTGTGTTTAATGGAGGGTCATTATCTTGACAGGTATAATCCTTCATTAGATGTTGCCTGTTTCTGATATATTGACCACCATCAGGTGTTTCTACAGAATAAGAGCGATTGTCTAATTTCTCTTGAATGACAGCGGGATTCCAAGATTTTCACTGCTGAATTCTAACATTTTCTCCTATGTTAAATGGTTTTAGGGGCCTTGAATGTTTATCATAATTTTTCTTTTGAATACATTTTTGTTTTTCAAGAAGTGACCTTATTCTATTTAAATCTGTTGTTTTGGGTGTTAAATTCTTTTCAGACATAGGTATAAATGTCCTTATTTTTCTTCCCATTAAGATTTCAGTGGGAGAATAACCTATGCTAAGCGGGGTAGCACGTAATTCTAAAATTGCTATCAAAGGGTCTGTTCCATCTTGCTTGCATTTTTAAGCAATGTTTTTACTTTCTTCACGCATGATTCACTAAGGCCATAACTTTGGGGATATTGAGGTGATGACCTTACATGCTTTATGTCCCATTTAGTTGTGAATTCTTTAAATTCTTGTGATGTGTAATAACTAGCACCATCTGAAACTATTTTCTGGGGAACACCATGTCTTAAAAACCAAGTTCTCATTAACTTAATAATAGTGCTACTGTTTGAATTTTTAATCATGTCAACTTCAAAATAGTTGCTCATGTAGTCGCATACTAACAAGGAGTCTTGGTTATCTAATGTAACTACATCAGTACCTATTACCTGCCATGGGTACTTAGGGATTTCATGTGAAACCAAGGGTTCCTTTGAATTTGACCTTTGATGTTCTGCACATACAGAACACTGTTGCACTTTCTGCACTATGTCTTTGCTAATGTTAGGCCAAAACATAGAAATTTGTGTCCTGCGGAAGCTACGTTCCTGGCCTGGGTGACCTTTATGTAGCAAATTTAACATTTCAGATCTTAGACAGTTGGGAATAATCAATCTTTGACCTTTGTAGATGATATTATCTTCAACAGTGAGTTCATCTCTATAATTCCAGTATTCTAGAACTTGAGAATTGCAATCTTTGCGTTTTTCAGGCCAGCCTTGAAGAATGATTTGTTTCAAGGTCATGAGTGTTGGATCTGACTCAGTTTTTGACCTTACTTCACTAAGTTTTTGATCTGTGTATGGCAAGTTTTTTGTTATGAAGTGAACATGCAAATTGGTATTTTCGGAAATTTCCGGATAAGTATCTGGCAAATATTTCCGAGACAATGTGTCAGCAACGGGTATTTGAGTGCCTGCTTTGTGCTGCAACTCAAAATCATTACCATGTAACGCTAATATGAGCCTTTGTTATCTTGCCGGGGCACTGTATAGGGATTTTTTAACAACACTGATCAAGGGTAAATGATCTGTTTCTACAGTTATGTGCCTACCGTAAATATATTGTCTGAACTTTGTCATGGCAAATACTTTGGCAAGAAGTTCTTTCTCAATCATGGCCCATGACCTTTCTGAGTTGGTCAAGGATTTGCTTGCAAAGGCTATAGGTTTTCCATCTTGCATTAAAGTAGAAGCACAGCCATGCTGAGAACTGTCAGACTGAAGTACTAGTGCCTTATTTGGATCAAAATAAGATAACACTGGGCCTGGACACTCAGTAAGTATGTCTTTGACTTTCTGAAATGCTCGAACTTGAGGAGCATCCCAGTGAAAAATGACATCTTTCTTTAATATTTCTGAGAGTGGATGAATGATCTCGGACAAGTTTTGGGCATATCTAGATAGATAAGTTATCATGCCAAGTATTGTCTTAAGCTCAGACTTGTCTTTAGGCGCTTCCATCTCTTGGATAGCCCTACATTTTTTGGGATCTGGTTTCAATCCATCAGCTGAGAGGATGTGACCAAAATATTTAACCTCCGAGACACAAACAACAAGTTTGTCATCGTTTAACCTTATGCCCTTTTGGCGGCACCTATCAAGTAAGTTTCTTAGGTTTATGTCATGCTCTTCTCGAGTTGAACCATAAACAAGAATGTTTACAATGACACAACAACCAAGTAAGCCTTCTAAGCACTCATCTATCTTTTACTGTAAAAGATCTTGGCTGCATTTCAGTCCCATTGGACATCTTAGATACCTATAACGACCTTGAGGGGTGTTGAATGTGGTTAGATATGATGATTCATCATCTAAAACAACGGACCAGTAACCTGATTTGCAGTCAAGTTTTGTGAAATATTTTGCAGACTTTAACTTCGGCAAAATATCATCTAAGGTTTTTGTAGGATAATGTGGCCTATGGATTGCCTTATTAAGGTCTTTAGGGTCAATTACAATTCTAACTTTATCAGAATGTGGCTTATTGACTACGACCATACTATTCACCCAATTTCCCTTTTCCATAGCATCAAGTTCCTTTTTAACCTTGCTCTGAAGAGCTACAGGAACGCGTCGGGGAGGATGAATTACTGGGAAATACTTGGGATCTACTTTGATCGAACAAGCACCAGGTAATTTTCCAAAGCCATGAAAAACTTCAGGAAAGTCACGCAAGACAGAATTTTTATTCATTTGCTCATTCTGATCTACGGACATTACAATCTTAATTAAATTGAAGTCAAGGCATGATTGTAAACCTAGGATTAAGGGTTTGTTTTTTCTCACAACATAAAATTCTACAAGTTTTGTGCATTTCTTCTTGTAGCTGCATGAGAGATCTACTACTCCTAGAACCTTAATTTCAGTGCCTGAGTAAGCAGTGAGTTTGACAGTTGGCTTCTTTAAGGGGGTATTGGCCTTGGGGGATTTGAAATCTGCCTCAGAAAGGATGTTACAGCATGCCCCTGTGTCAAGTTTAAACTGTTTGAAATGACCTTTAGAGCCCACCTGTAAATCAACAAATACCTGTCCCTTTGAAATTGAATCAACTGCACCAATACAAAATTCACTGTTACTGTCACTGTTACTGTCACTGTTACTGTTTCCAGTTTCGATTTCATGCACTTTTTTGTTTAGCCTACACACAACTGCATAGTGATTTCATTTAAGGCAATTCTTGCATAGTTTTCCTCTTGCCGGACATCGATCTTTGCTGTGATGTGACTGTCCACAATTTCCACATTTTGTTATCTGTTGGTTTTGTCTAACTCTTGAATGGTGATTGTGTTTCTGTCCAGTCTCGTTTTGGTATTTTGACGTGGAATGTCGTTTATGATTAATGTCATCAATGTTTTTGGAATTAGTCATATCACGTAGTTGTGCCTGTGCGTATTCATGTGACTGTGATATCCTGACTGCTTTTTCAAGAGTCAATGCTTCGCCTTCCGTGATTAGTTTTTCACGAACTTTTTCCGACGTAATTCCAATAACTATTTGATCTCGTATGACATCATCTCTGTACCCTGCATCAAAAGCGCAATCATTTGCTAATGTTTTTAGACGTGTGATGAATTGTTCTATCGTACTGTTTCCCTGTT